CTGCAGGGAGATGCTGGGGGCTGCTCACTTGCTGTTTTGGCCCCCAGCTAAGCAGACACAAGCTCCCAACCTACAGGAGAGGCTCATTAAAGAGTACAGGTGAGCACGGAGTGCTGCTTAAGAAGCTATTCTTACTACTGGAAAGGGCCAGCAAGGGAGGCAGTGGGGAAGGATCCGTAATGAGATGGGGGAGGAAGGGAACTGGAGGGAGTACAAAGAGAAAAGGGGAAGAAACAGTCCAGGAAAAGGAGGAGGACTCGACTGATGAGGGCACAGAAACCAAACCAGCAATGTTGTTGCTTTAACACCTCATTTTCCCTCTACCCTCAGAGTCTCAAGGGCTCAGACACTCTCATCCCCAAACAATCCAACATCCTGGGGCTAAACCCCAGTTTATGTTCATGCACCCCTCAGCTGTGCATGTCCCAGCTTAGAGGCCAGCTCCTCCTCCAGGGGCCAGCGTAGACCTTTATACACCCAGCCCTTCCCTGCAACACACTCAGGACAAGCTGCTACCAAGCACAGCCTCAGGGCTCCGGGAGAGGTGGCTGCGTTCCAGTCCAGACCTGCAGGAGGGTTCACCTGAGCACGAGACACAGTCAGAGGTGAGCCCAAGAGCGTTATCCCAGCAAAGCCATCACCTCCTTCCTGCAAAGCCCACCACAGACCTGGGTTTCCCTCACTAGAGGCTGCTTTGCAGCACTGTCCCAGCAGTCATCACCACATGAGCAGCTGCCTTTGGCCTGTGCCCATTGAGCAGCCAGGGCTCCTGCCCAGAGAGTGCAATGCCCACATTATCCACAAAGTCCTCAGGAAACAGGCAAGTGCAATAGCCCCTGCATCTCTCTTTGAGACCATCCCACCACCCTTTTCCCAGCCCTTCTCAATTGAACACGTTGCTGGTGAAAGGGGTCATCTTCTCCAGCGAGACAGCCACTTCACACTCCACGTGCATCACTGCAGGGCTGGTGGTGGGAGAAGGCTCAGAGGCCTGAGAAGCCCTGCCAGAGGCCATCTCATTGCTCTCCATGTGCAGAGCAACGTGGGGGAGAAGCTGGTGGTAGCTGAGGGTCACCGCTTCCTTCTGGTACGTGGTGTCGGGGTGGTAGGAGACCAGCTCATTGCTGAATTTCACCGTCTCCACTGCATTGCTGGGGCAAAGGCAGCCACAGCCCAAGAGGGTTGCAAAAGCTCTCCTGAAGTCTGCGTTGAAGGCGTAGATGATAGGATTGAGGGAAGAGTTGGCCCACCCAAACCAGACAAAGATGCTAAAGATGGTCTCACTAACACAAGGCAGCTCTCCGGGCTCATGCAGGCCAGGATCACAGAAGGGCACCATGCAGTTGAGCACGAAGAAGGGCAGCCAGCAGAAGACAAAGACGCCCATGATGATGGAGAGGGTTTTGAGGACCTTGGTCTCCTTCTTGAAGGAGTTCTTCAGGGAAGCCTCGTGAGGGCAGTCACTGCTGTGGCAGCTTTGGGCATGCTCCACCGCCCTCTCCAGGGAGGAGATGCTGCGGATCTGGCGCCGGGCGATGCAGAAGATGCGGGTGTACGTCACCAGCATGATGGCAACGGGGATGTAGAAGCTGACGAGAGAAGACGAGATGGCGTAAGTCCTGTTGAGGCTGAAATCACAGCTCCCCTCCTCCCCGGTGAGGTTAAAACCTGGCTCCTGTTGGGTAAGGAGCTCCCCATCCTTGTGCCACTTCAGCTGCACGGGGATGAAAGACATCAAGAGGGAGAGCAGCCAAGCGAGCGCGACCATGACAGAAGCCACGCGCTGCGTCATCCTCCTCTCATAGCGGAAGGGGTTGGATATGGCCCAGTACCGGTCCACGCTGATGATGCACAAGTTGAGGATCGAGGCTGTGGAGCACATGATGTCAAAAGCCACCCAAACATCACAGAAAGCCCCAAAAGGCCAGAACCCCAGCACCTCGGTGGCAGCCTTCCAGGGCATCACCAGGACAGCCACAAAGAGGTCAGACACAGCCAAGGAGACGACGAAGAAATTGGTGACCTTAGAGCGCAAGTGCCTGAACTTCACCACGGCCACACACACCAGGGCATTGCCCAGGAGCGTGGAGAGGATGAGGAGGGAAAGCAAGGTGGCTGCCACCACACGGAAGGACAACTTGGAGCTGCTTTCCTCCACCCAGCTCTTCCTGCTGCCAGTGCCATTGATCACATCCTGCCCACCTCCTTCTGTGGAGGAGTAAACACCATCCATGGGTTCCTCTTTGTTTCAAGTCCCTCAAGAGGTTCCAGAGCTGTTCAAGTCCTATCAGCACCCAAAACCCCTTCTCACTGCTCAGAATCAATCCTCCCAGTTCTCGCAGCACCAGAAGTGCCTGCAGCTCTCATCGCTTTCCACGTCTGCTGCTGACAGCGATTTTCCCCTCTTTGCCACCCCACTCTGCTTTCCTCGCAGCTCACAGAGGGCTGGCACTCACCTCCTGCATTGCATCAAGCCTTCCTCCCTCTTCTCCCTCAGTAGTTCCTCACCCACTGTTGATGTGGTGCCTGCTACAGGATCCCAGTCACCCCTTCCGCGCTGGGACTTGCTGCCAGACGCAGGAGGGAATCAGAGCTGTCTCTGCTCTTGCAGACGGACCTGCTCTGCACAGAAATCAGGCTGCTCTGCTCTCTGCTCATCCCGCTGTGCCTCTGGATTTCACCCCAGGTCCATCCTCTGCGAGCCAAGACGATGGCAGTGGGAGGCTGCAGCTGACGGGGGAAGCTGCTCAGGAATTAGGCAATAGGATTGAAGGGGTAAAATAACAAACATTCAAGTGGGATTTGAGGCTCTTCAAGGCAAATCAGCAGGAAATTCAGTGTGCTTGAGCTCTCAGTAAGAGACACCTAAATTCACTGAGTCACAGCTCACATGTACGACCCTACATCAGTCGCTCCCCCTGTCCCAAGCTTCCTGGCCGCAAAGGGGCTCCTTTGATTGAGAAATGGCAGCAAACTCTTTGAGGAAACAAGTTTCCACCAGAGCTGCTCTGCTCAATGGGGACCTGCCTTTGGGAAATGCCTTGCTGGAAAGCTGGCCAAGATGGGAAAGAGCAGCAGCAGCTCTCCAAACCAAACCGAAGGCGCAAGCAGGCAGCAGAGTGTGAGTTCACACCACGCTGGAGCGGATTCTGATGACCCCTGCCTGTCCCAACAGCTCTTCTGAAGCAAGCAGCAGCCAAGCTCCACAGAGGCAGCTCAGCTGCACTGAGATTTAATCCCCCTGACCTTGCACAAGCCCACATCAAGCAGGAGCTGCCCAAGAACAGCTTCCAAACAAGAGAGCAGTTATTCCCTTGAAGACACAGCACCAAGCAGCTTAGCCCCAAAGCAAACAGCACGCTCGCTTTGTGGCAGGTCACAGGAGCCCGGTGCCAGCGTGCCACAGCATTGACTTCGAAGGCTTCGTTTCATTAAGCCTCATTAGTTCCGCCGTCTGCAGCCTTCTCCTGCCAAGCGCCTATGCCGGGAGGAGCAGCTAGATGGCACCAGCCACCGGCTCACGGCTCAGCGCCCTCACTCGGGTCTTTGGCAGGCCAGCTCCCTCCCTTCTGTAATCCTTACCAGAATTACATCAGAAGAGGGCTCTCTCATTGCACAGAGCAGTGCACCGTCCTCTGCACCTCAAAGGGCATTTTCACACATATTCCCTCTATTAGGAACAAAGATTTTCCAGATCTAAGTTGCAGGACACAAAGAGGATGTCTTCATTGCTCAAGAGAGGAGCAATGGCAGGTAATCTGTCCTATGGCATTGAGCCATGTCAGAGGCTTGGAGTGGGAGCTCATGGCACACTTAGGATGCACATGCTATGCCAAGAGGCGTTCCAGATCATTCCTGGAGATACAAGGAGCTATATTCCTCCTTTGGGGCTTAGAAACACCTCAGAGAGGCTCTCGCCCTCGCGCACAACTCACACTGAAGCAGGCATGGGAAGCTGCGTTGGCAGGAGCAAGCAGATGCGAAGGGATCCAACCCATTACCTAGTCTCTGGGCATCTCAGAACACACCTAATGAAGACAGGCCCCATCACCTCTGCTGTCAGAGGCACCAAAACACAGCCTCAACCAGACCCCAGGCAGTTCCTGCTGTTCCCAGGTGAACTCCTCCCGCCGGCTGGCTGTGATCCCTACTGAGAGCACTGTTTGCTGCCTTCTATCACTAAACTGTTGCTCCGTTTCCTCACATAAGCAGCTGCTATTTTTGCTGAGACTCAAGTCCTATTTTAACCAGCACTCAACTAGGAGAAGATTCCAGTGTGGTGGCAATTCAGCTCTAGGTTTTCATATTTCATTTCCTCACCCAGCGAGAAGCTGCCCTCGATTTCCCTTCCCTGCTGTCGCACCAAAATATCCTTCCCATTCTCCATTCAGCCATCTTGATTACATTCCCCACTTTGCATCAAAGGGAGAAAATTGCCAGCCACTTCATCTAAAGCAGCAGCTGCTTGGGTTTAACTCTTCAAAGCCTCTTCCAGAAAGGCTGCCTCAGCCAGATGCAGCACAGAATGACAGGAGAGCATTTGTTCCTATGGGAATCACTTGGAGCTTCCCTTCCAGGGAAGGTACAGGTGATAGGAGGGGAGAAATGAGGAGCAGGCAGATCTGTGGGCTCCCTGCAGCCATGGGAGCCTTGAAGCTGCACCTTTGTTAACTGCACAATGCTGGAAAAAGATGAGCTGAAGCAAAGAAAAGGAAGTCAGCCTTTCCAAAATGATACTCAACATTAAGGCTGTACAGCCCCAAACCCAGCACACGATACAGACAACTCCTTTCACATAGGAACTGCTGGGCCTTTTTAAAGACTGGAGGCAGTCAAAGTGCACTGCAGCAGTTAGACAGCTTGGGTTGTGACAAAGCAGCCCAAGAACCTGCCCATTTCCTGTCAGCACACAAGTTTTATCGATGCGGCAGCACAGCTGGAACAGCACTAACACACAGGGACCTGTGGCACAGGGAAAGAAAAGGAGGCACCACAAGGGATTCCGTTTCCTCCCTTCCCTTTTATTACACATAGGCAGAAAACACAGTGGTTTTTCTCCCATTTACTTACAAAGCTTCAAGTCATTCCACACAATTCCATGTGCAGCCCGGGTGAACTGCTCCAGCACACCTCCTGTGGCAGGAGTCCACTCTCCAACAAAGCAACAACGAAGGCAGAGAGAACACAGTACCATAGTGACACCTGGAATTGCTTCCCTTGCCCTCTGGGACTAAAGCTGGGTCACCAGTAATGCCCAGGGCATGGGAACTCCAGCCCTGCTTTATGTTCACCCAACCTGCCATCCACGTGGCTCAAGCAACAGAGCTTGGTGCAGGAAGCAGCAGAGAAATGGTGATGGGAATATGGGAATACATTCCGAGTCAGGGAGAGGGGCAGGGAGGACTGGTTACACACCAGCATGGAGCTGGTCCCCCCCTGCCACACACAGGCTCTGTGCACAGAAAGCCCAATTTCTAGCACTTTCCTCTCCTAAAAGAATTCACTTCTCCATGTTCAGGACCTGGCTTTCTGCTCTCCCCTGTGCATACATGTAATAAAAAAGTGACCTGCAAAAGATGAGGATTTCACTTCTAATGGGTAAAGAAAGCCTCTAAAAGCATCCTCAGTTGCTCTGCTCAGCTGGGTTTGCATTAGAAACACTGCCAGTGTTTTGTTTTGGGGCTTTCTGGTCATCTTGTGGAATTGCAACATCAAGACTGAAGGCAAAGACAAGGCTGTTGTAGGAAACTGGCCTCAGGGAAAATGATGCATCCCTTCTCTTCCCACCCCAACTCACTCAATATGAGAGCTCAGAGAAGATCACCCTGCAACTTCCAGCAAATTTTGCAAGCAGGGAAGATACAAAAATAGCTCAGGTTTCAAGTCAGAGCGAGCAGCAAGTGGTAGCGCAGCACCCACGAGCCTGTGTCCCAACCAGCAGCATCAGGACCACCTTCAGCTCAAGATCTTTTGCAGGTCTCCCTTTTAAGGCCTTAATGTCATTACAGAAAGAGGAATTCTTTTTGTCTTGTGCTTGCAATTGCTGCCCTCTAGAGCAGCAACAAAATCTCCTACAATTGAACACTTACAGTGTCTAGTTGCCCACGACCGTGCAGAATACAGACAGGGAGGGATAGAACTACCAACGGGTGTGTAAGCTTGTTGCAGGTAACTTCTGGCAAGGACAGTACTCAGGTGCCAAGTGTTTTAAACAACCACACAAACAGCCAAATGTTGAGCAACTGCAATACTGCTGCAACTCAGGTTCTCAACATCAGCCACAGCAAAGGGAAAATGAAAAACGAGCACTGTTATGGACATGGAAGAGTTTATCTTCGCTGGGCAGAATAGTGAAGGGCATTCCCAGAGGGAAGACTGGATGTTGCAGTGACTTGGGATCACAAGTCAAATTAAGACCAGCGCAGATGTTGGCACAGAGATGACAAACACCAGCTGGGGCCAGTTCCAGAGTGGATTGTCATGGCAGGAGATCCTGTTGCTGAGCAAAGTGATATCCATGAAGAACAGGGGAGTGGTACCCCTCTCCCCAGAAGTTCTAGTCATTAGTTAAGGAACCTTAAGACAACTTCTCACACTGCAGCAACAGGATGCTGTTGGGTCTTTAGAGATTCAGTCCCAGAGCTGTTTTGGGTTCAGAGGAAGTAGAGGGAGTCTTTTGTGCCAAATCTATAAAGACAATCACAACAGAAAGAGACCAGTTTTCATCAGTAAGATGAACTACATCAACCACCTCTATAACTAACAAATACAATCTCAGAGAGCCTCAGTGCTTCAGTATTCAATTACTGGTCTCTTGGAAACCCATGCTTTATGCTTGATACGGGATGCTGACCATTCTTCTGCTCTGAAACTTGGGAATATCATGTGCCCTAATAGGAAGACGACTATATGGACACTCCTGTGCAACTGTTCATTAACTGATTCCTGAAAGGAAAATTAAAACCCATTTACCCCTGTCCAAGACAGGCCTATGGAAAACTCACTGTGCAACCCTTAAGCTCTGGTCACTCATTGTTCCTAAATAAAGACTGTTAGTACTGGTTCTAGCAGACATCATACCTATAACATCGAACATAATAAGTAGTGTGAGACAGAAAAGATGCTGTGTGCTTGGCCAGGCAGAACTCCTAGCAAAGACACCGAGTCTGGTAGTGAAAGTCACCACTGAGCAGGGATACAGGAGAGCTTCCTTTCAGCCCTGTAACTGGAAGTGGGAAGGATTCTAACTCAGACTTCAGTCCTGGACCTCTTTGGTTTTGCAAGGCTGATAGCAGTTAGCTAACACAACTTACTGACATCCATACCTCCATCAGACACAGAGAGCTTCTCCAGTTCAGCTTCCAGCTCAGCATCAGAAATGGGTGGATTCAGCACCTTCTGGGGAACAGGAGGCAGATCCACAGGCTCCTTAGCCGAGTCCTGCAGGAGACTGTCCAGCTCCTTCTCAAGCTCCTCAGTGTCCGTCTCTGCGGATTAAAGGAAACATTCAGTTCCAGGAAGAATTAAGCAGCATCTTCATAGCACAGACTGTGTTTCAGCAGAGACAAACAAGCTGCAGGGACACACAGGCCAGAGGAACAAGATTCTCTCTTATAAAAGAAAGCAGTAGCCACTCTAATAGATCTAAACCAACACAACTCTGAACTGAAAGCCACCAGCATTTGAGAGACTACAAGGAGTTGGAGATGCACAAATACCCACTCTCAGAAGAGACGATTCACTGTCAGTTCTCATCCCCTCTCAAGGCACCAGTAGCAACAGCTTTGGTATTTCAGTGAGCAATTATCCTTCCAGGAAGGCTGATATGTGGGGAGGGAGCAGGGAAAGGAAGCAGCACAGAGGGCCAGCAGTGGCAAGAGAAGATGAGCAGAGGATAAAAAGCCCAGCACATACCTAGACCATTGATCCCCACTCCAGCCAGAGTCTGGGCTACTTCATCTTGAGTATCACAAAGCTGAGGAAAAAAACAGTGTTTGATATTGAATAAACCCTCATCTTACATCTTACTGCAGGCACTTATGTCAAAAGTAGGTAACAAAACACAAACCAAAGTCCCAAAATTGACTTAAAGGCAGAGTCACTCCAAGTACACAGAGCTGAAGTTGCTCAAGTAATCCTTTCCTGCTTTTTACACCAGCTTATGCAGACAGATTGCTCTCTTCATTTCAACTCATAACAATCCCACCTCCTTTCCCATCCTGAACTGCAGAAGATTATGGATTAGGCAGTTTTAAGACCCTGTTTTCATGCACAGTTGTATTCCAACTGGTATTTCATTTTAATACATCTCGCTGAACGTTTTTGAGGAAAGCTGGCTGCTTGTGCAATGCTCTAACCAAAAGAACACATAAAACGCACAGATTTCAGGGAAGCTGTGATTACTAGCTAGCAATAAATGCAAATATATAAAGCCAGATTAAAGTTATCTGAAGACCTCTGCTTGCTGATTTAAAAAGATCAGGAGTAAGTTTGCTCTGGTGACACGTGGGATAGAAACCAAACAGCCTCAACATTAGTAGCTGGGCAAGCTTGCTGTGTACATCTACACACCACTTCTTTGTCTACATAAGCTCTCATGTCAGTACCTCTTGTATCTGATCCACCAGATTCTCTGCCTTCTCCACAGTAACATCCTTCATTGAGAGTTTCAGAGCTCCCACACCAGCCTGGTAGGCATTAAATACCTTTAAAAATACATAAAAAAGGAGAAAGATGCACAATGCTAAGAACAAACACCATCTTCTCTCAAAACCTGGTATTCAAGTAGGACCCTTAGAGAAGCATTAGCATCCAAGAAGAAAATGAAACCATTTAGAGCAATATCCCAGCAGCAGATTTGCTGTTTCCTAGAGCAGAGAATCAAGTCCCACCAGCCAGCCTGCACCCACCCCTCAGACAAGAGCTCTGACAAGCAGGTAAAGCAGCACACAACAGGAAGAGCAGGGCTAGAGTGAAAAGCACAAGACAATATGAACACACTACCATCTGGTCAGTCTGGGAGGCGTAAATCCTGTCCAAGATCCCCTGCACTGCATCCAGCTTGGAGTGAAGCTCTTCAATGCGCCTCTCTGTCCTTCGTTTGGACTTCAAACATCTCAGTGCCTGGGGACATGAGAGACACAGCCTGGGATCACCAACCAGGCAGCAGCCAAACAAAGTGTGAAGGAATCAAAACCAGCAAGCCCTCTGCAGCAAGGCACACACACATCAGCTGGTTTTAACAGTTGGATGCTTCCATTTCGCTTCACCAACTCACTCTGGACAAATACATTCTTATCTTCACCTTAAGGAGACCTGGAGACCTTTAGCACCAGCAACCTCACTTCAACACATCTAAGATCAAGCACCCTGGCCATTATCTGCAGCTATGGAGCAGCTCCAAGGTACCTGTAGTTCCAAGTAGAATGGGACTTACCAATTGTTTCTTCCCAGCTCTACAAGCACTCCGGGCATCCTCTTTACACCTGTACAGATGCACAAAGGAAAAGCTCAGTCCTTTGCAAGCAGTAGTTATTTTACAAATCATCAGCCATCCTCACTGCTTTGCTCTAACCCAAAGACAACGGAGCAACAATGCACTTCAGACACAACCACCCTTAACCCATTGTTGCTCCTCAGCGGTTGTCCTTGAATTCATTCCAAACTTTTGCAAAAGCTTTAGGCATCCACTCACTGCACGTTGTTTTTATGGGGATAAGGAACAAAGAGTGGAAAACCTGCCCATTCACATGACTGTGACTACTGTGTTTACAGAACAGGAAGAAGCCTGCACCTTCAGAACAGCTTCGTTCTAACTAGGTCACCGGAATTCAAAGTTCCGCATCACACAGAAGTTCTTCCCACCACCCTTCCCCAAATTACTTCTCTGCTTCCTGGGAAAGGGACTCCACCTTCTGTGACAGCAGCTGCTCACTCTGCATCAACTGATAAACTCCAATGTCCACATCATTCATCGGGGAGACTTTGGCATGAAGCCCTCGGGCAAACTTCACTATCTAAAGGGAGAAAACCACACACTCGAGTCACTTGTCTCCACAATCTGTGCCTGCACTAGAAATACTCCAACTCTGATGAAAGAGATGTTTTTACTCTCAGTTTAAGCCTTGTAATAGTGATGAACATGTATCAGTCACCATATAATCAAATATTGAACTAGCCAGGATCAAGTAACATCAGTGTGAAAACAGAAAGCTTGACTGGAACACCCTAAAGCTGCCCTGGTGCACTGACCAGCGTATGGCAGTGTCACACTTCCAAGCACTTCAGTACTGAACTGCACAGTGCAGCACCACAGGGAAAAGTGCCATCTCAGAGGCAAGAACTGCAGTTCCTGACAGAGAGGAAGCCCTTCTCAAAGAAAGCAGAACAGTGATTCTAGTGGCGTGGAATGACTTCAATTTGGGTAGCTAGGGACAGTCAGCCTGCAGGTAGACAACTACAGTACCTGCCCATTTTCTAGCTAGTAACAGCATAAACATCTAAAAACCTGTTGTGCAAGACTGAGGGTTTAGTCTCATCTATAACCAGGTTACAATGCTGGAGCCCACAGAATTCACTTTCCCAAATGAAGAACACCCACATTGATCCAATAAGGTATTCTTTCCAGCCAGATGAAATGCAAGACAGGGATTATACCACCCAAAAGCAGTCACCTTTACCCTGTACCTTCTCTCCATTCTGTTCCAGGATCGTGACCCTCTTTTCCTTTTGCAGCTGGAGAAGCAGCAAGTAGAACGTCCTTTCATCCGGGCAAACACTGGCACAGAGGGAACGCAGCTCCGAGAGGGCAACAACAGGGTGAGAAGAAAGTGCAGAGTTCTGATAGAGGCGATAAACTTCCTCTGCCTTCTCCTGGAAGGAAGCAGCAGAGCGGGCTGTGAGCACACACAGCACTCTGCCTCCTCTCACAACAACTGCAAATCCACACCTGCTTCCTCCTACGCACTGAAGGTGAAAAGCCAGACGCATTCTGACCCAGACAAGACTCACAGAGCGAGTTGTACATCAACATTCAGAAGCAACTGCAATGCTTTCAAATATCACCATTAATGGGATGAAAAAACAGCATGTTTTCATGAGAATCAGAACTACAGCACTCACTTTCCCTGTGCAAATGCAACGGATGGAGTAACACAGGAACCACACAAGCACTGCCCCGGCTTCCTCCGCACATCTCGCGATCCCACCTCCCACCCCCTGTTTAAAACCAACAGAAGCTTTTCTTTAATCACAGAATCCTGGAATGGTTTGGGTTGGAAAGGACCTTAAAGCTCCTCAAGCTCCAACCCGTGCCACAGGCAGGGACCCCTTCCACTGGAGCAGCTTGTTCCAAGCCGCTGTGTCCAACCTGGCCTTGAGCACTGCCAGGGATGGGGCAGCCACAGCTTCTCTGGGCACCCTGTGCCAGCGCCTCAGCACCCTCACACGGAAGAGCTTCTGCCTAAGAGCTCATCTCCATCTCCCCTGTTTCAGCTTAAAGCCATTAATCCACACTAGAAATGAGCTCACCAAGTCACTCTGCATCATGTGTACATGAGCAGAGGAGAAAGTTCTCCCCATTTCAAGCGAGAGTCATGATCCACTTCAGACCACTGAAACAACTCCAGACTCCACATCAAGGCTTGTGGTTTCTAAAGTGTTTTCCCTCCTCTCCCATGCACATCCCTTCTGAAAGAGCTGTGGAATACCCACTACAGAGGAAAGGCACTGTCTGCTATCAGGGTAACTACAAATAAAGGAACCCAGCCAAAGAGTTCTCACATTTCTGCTGGTCCCAGTCATTTAAATGCCACTGGCATGCAACAGCAGCAAGTCTTGTGGCTAAGGCAGAGCAACACAAAGAGGGGACTCATGCTCTGCTCAAATCAGTCAATGAGTTACAGAACGCAACCCACAGCTCTACCACTAACAATGTGCCAAAGGGGCTTTGACAGGATCCCAGGGCTGAAAGCTCAGAGGCAAATCGACCTTTAATAATGCTCAAGCAGCAACTGCTGCATCACCCGTGTGCCCCTGCAACGGGTGGCACTCAACATGCAAGCTCCTCTTGTGTACCACACTTGCCCAAACTCGAACCTGAGCCTCACAGCACACTCCTTGCTCGCCTCAACAAGCAAGCCTGCCCCTCTTGTTTCATAGAAGCCAGTGAGCAGCCACTATGTTCCAAGGAACATCTGTAGGTATGAACTATTTCTTCACCCTGAGTTATCCCATGCACCTTTAGCCACCAAAGGAGTACAAAGGAAGGTCTATTCCATGCTGATCTTTCCTCCCTAGAGCACAAACCAAGTCACGATGGAGATGCACGACCTCGAGCAGGCTCCCAACACCACTCACCTGAAGCAGCTCCACATAAATCAGAACTTCCTCTTCTTCAGGTATCTTACTGTCACCCAGCACGCTGGAGAGAGTCCACTTGAGGGGCTTCAAAATGAAGACTCCCACACCCCAGGAGATCCAGCTGCTGTCTACACTGGCCATGAAGTCCGACTCCCTCTGCATCTTGCCACGCCTGGAGGAGAGACACGCATGCAGAACGGAGTACCATCACTCTCCACCCTTCCACCAGCACTGAGAACCATGGCCTGAAACACTGCTCTGGGCTTTGTACAAGCACAGGGCTGGTGGCGTTCCCCAACACCAGGTTCTGGCTGAAGCGTGAGGTCTCACCACTGGGTATGAAGGTGCACAGAGGTCTCCCTGCCTCCCCACCTCCTCTGGGCACAAGGGTCTTTTCTTTACCATTTTCCAGTTTCCCAGGTTTCTGACTTGAAACTGAGGGGGAAAAGAGGGAAACCAACGGGAGGCTCTGCTGGACACCTGGGGTATTTCAGTGGGGCATTAAACTGCACACATAGGCTTTCTCATACCCACAGACCTGGGGTTTATGTTACAGTCTCAGCTGGCTCCTGCTGCTCTTGGACCTCTAAAGGGTACCAGCCCCGGGCTCTCGTTTCACACTACAGAGCCCTTGGTTGCAAACACCATCACTCACCACATCCCCACACGCAGCCGTGTGCAACGCAACAGCCGCTTTGGGGAACGTAACCCGACTGAACACAAAGCAACCCCTGCACCTACACCACGGCATTCCCTTGGGATGCCCTGCACCTCCGCGAACCCCAGGGTGAGCTCTGGCTCCCTGTCCATGCTTTTCCTTGCACAGCGCTCTCAAATTCCCTATCACACACACAATATAACCCCGTATTCCCCTGGAACTCCTTGTGCTCTCCTCCAAGAACAGCACCAATGTCCCCCTGCACCCCCCCACCACCCTCCCTGCCGTGCACACAGCCGGCATCTTCCTTCTGGCACGCCATGGAGCTCTCCTTGCCCGCATCCATGCCTCAAAGCTCCCTTATGCACCCCCCCCACAGAGACCCCTCCGCGGCCTGCCCGCCGCCGGTACCTGAGGAGCTCCCGGAGGACGGTGCCGAGGCCCAGCGGGAGGCTGCCGCGCCGCTCGAAGCCGTGCTGCAGCTCTCGCAGGCAGGTCCGCACCGCTCCCCGCCGGCGGCCGCGGGCCAGCACCAGCCCGACCCAGAAAGCCATCTTACTGTCCCACTCGGTGCTGTTCACCTCGCGGCTCTGCTTAAAGGCCGAGAACAGGAAGGCCATACGCTCGTCGTCCGTCTCCCACTCGGGCGGCAGGTCCCCCGCCGGGGCCGGCCCAGGCGGCTCCCTCCCCGGGCTGCACATCTACGCGAGCCCCCGGCTCCGCCGCGGCCTAGCGCCCGGCCGGGACCCGCCTGGCTGCCGGGGAGCCGCGCACCGCGCAAGCGCACTGCTTCCCCCCCCCACCGCCTTTGTGTGGGCCGCGCCGCGCCGCCTTCCCCCCGCCCCGGTCTGCAGTGGTACGGCCCTGCGCGTGCGCAGTGCGCGGCGCCCCGGGTCGGTGCGAGCATGGCGACGCGTGAGCACAATGAGCACGGCTGGAGTGAGCCTCGGAGCCTTCAGTGCAGCCGGTACCAACCCACGGCACCCGGCACCGCAGCCACACAGCGCAAACACCTCCGTGGGTGCCGGTTCCATCACTGCGCAGCCTGGTCCAACGCTTGGCAAGCGCCGCTGGGGGAAGACGTTGTTGGAGTCACCTCCTGCCTCCCCTGGTGCAGCTTGAGGCCGTTTCCCCTTGTCCCATCCCATCCCTTGGGAGCAGAGCCCAGCCCCTCCTGGCTCCATCCTCCTGTCAGGCAGTTGGAGGCAGCCATCAGGTCCCCCCTGAGCCTTCTCTATCTGACCCCCCATGTCCCTCAGCCCTTCCCCATCACTCCGGTGCTCCAGGCCCTGCTCCAGCCCCGTTCCCTTCTCAATGCCTCCCTTGGAGTGAGGGGCCCCGAACCGAGCACAGGATCCGAGGTGCGGCCTCCCCAGTGCCCAGCATGGGCACAATCCCTGCCCTGGCCCTGCTGCCGCACTGGTGCTGACCCAGGCTGGGGTGCTGGTGGAACCGGCACAGGCTGGCTCATGGCAAACACCACTGCTTAAGCAGAGCTGCCACGTTCTGGGTACTGCTGTGTGCTTGTACTCGCCATATGTGACACTTTTTACTCTGGGCAGAACAGGGAGGCATCAGACTGTGTCTAGAACCTCAGCGCCAGAATGGGCTCACTTAAGGGACTTAGAATCATAAAATGGTTTGGGTTGGAAAGGACCTTGAGATAATCCAGTTCCAACCCCCTGCCATGGGCAGGGACACCTCACACTAAACCAGGGCACCCAAGGCTCTGTCCAACCTGGCCTTGAACACTGCCAGGGATGGAGCATTCACAACCTCCCTGGGCACCCATTCCAGTGCCGCAGCACCCTCACAGGAAAGAATTTCCTCCTTATCTCCAATCTAAACTTCCCCTGTTTCAGTTTTAACCCATCACCCCTTGTCCTGTCACTACAGTCCCTAATGAAGAGTCCATCCCCAGCATCCCTATAGCCCCCTTCAGATACTGGAAGCTGCTCTGAGGTCTCCACGCAGCTTCTCTTCTCCAGGCTGAACAGCCCCAACTTTCTCAGCCGATCTTCACACAGGAGCTGCTCCAGCCCCTGAGCATCCTCGTGGCCTCCTCTGGACTTGTTCCAACAGATCCATGTCCTTTTCATGTTGAGGACACCAGAACTGCACACAATGCTCCAGGTGAGGTCTCACGAGCAGAATAAAGGGGCAGGATCACCCCCTTCACCCTGCTGGTCACGCTCCCCTTGATGCAGCCCAGGATACGGCTGGTTTCTGCTCAGATGGGTTTGGCTTCCTCCGGAGGGATCGCTTCCACCAGCCTGCTGCCATCCCTCTGGCAGGGCTCCCACGCTGGGCACTCATCACTGAACCCCGGAGCTGCCAGAGCCGCCCTGTGCCTGCAGCTCTTCCCCAGCCGCTGGGAAGCAGCCAGCTCCCACAGGCACAGTTCATGGGGCTGCTCGCAGCCACCGTGCCTGATGGGCTCCTTTTCCCATTCACAATCCGAACCTCAACGCAGCCCTGCTGATTCACAGAGCAAAGGGCATTGATACCGGTAAACCAGTGCCACAGGAGGTCCATTGGGAGGGAGAGCCTTGGCTCCCTTCCCCTGGCCAGACCAAAGTGCTGCAGGGAAGGCAGAGAGCAGCCTTGAAACACACCCTGCCCCATGTCGGAGCTGAGGAGATGACTCAGCAGAGCCAGAGTCTATTTTTACCCTCTCCAAGCGTTCTCTGTCAAGCTGGAATTTTACATTAATCCTTTCCAAAAGCCCCAAACCCGTGGCACCTTCTGACTGGAGCCAATCGTACCCCAGGACCTGCTCTTCCCTGCTAGGGAGGGCACGGTTTGGCTGCAGGCAGCAGAGCAAACACTGAGTTCAGGAAGCCCAGTGGTGGCATCAGAGCACGAGGCTTGTTCAAAGCCGCCGTGTTTATACACCTGGGAAACGGGCCTTGACCCTGCGGTGCTGGAGGCTGTTAGACGAGCATCACATGCTCGGTGATGGAAGAGCCAAGTGATGGGCTCATCCTGCTCCTGTTCCAGATAAGAAGCTCCCTGTCGTGGTTCAACCCCAGCCCCACACATGGCTGGGGGACAGAAAAGGGTAAAAGTGAGAACTCATGGGCTGAGATGCAGTTTAATAGGTAAAGCAGAGCAAAACAAGGAATGCATTTGCCACTTCCCATAGGCAGGCAGGAGTCCAGCCATTCCCAAAGGAGCAGGGCTCTGTCACGAGGAACGGCGACTTGGGAGAACAAACACCATCGCTTCGGACGTCCTTTCCTTCCTCCTCCATTCTTCTGCTGGCTGTGTACACCAAACAGGATGTCATACGGTTGGGAATAGCCCTGGATCAGTTAGGGTCAGATGTCCCGGCCACGCGCCCTCCCAGCTCCGTCTGTGAGGAGCAGAAAAGGCCTTGGCTCTGTAAGTGCTGCTCGGTGGTGTCTGAAGCATCCCAGGGTCATCATCAGGGTTTCCAGCAGAGAACCCAGGCACGGCCCCAGAGCAGCTACTACAGAGGAAATGAGCTGTACTCCAGGCACAGGCAGCACAGGGGGAGCTGTGACACGAGGTGAGATGTGACATCCAGAGCAGCACTGAGGAGCACTTGGGGGTGCTGGCTGAGGAGAAGCTCCCCCCATGACCCAGCTTCAGTGTCCACAGGAGCCCAGAACCCCCCCATGTGCTGGGCTGCACCCCCAGATGTGAGCAGCAGCACAGGGAGGGCATCCTGCCCCTCTGCTCTCATGAGACCCCCCCTGCAGCACTGGGTACAGTGCTGGGCTCCTCAACATGAGGACAAGGAGCTGTTGGAGCAAATCCAGACGAGGCCACGGGGATGCGCAGGGTCTGGAGCAGCTCCTGTATGGAGACAGGGTGAGAACATTGGGGCCGTTCACCCTGGAGAAGGGTGTGTGGAGACCTCAGCAGCTTCCAGTGTCTGGAGGGGGCTATAGGGGTGCTGGGGAGGGACTCTTCATTAGGGACTGTAGTGACAGGACAGGGGGTGATGGGTTCAAACTGGAACAGGGCAAGTTCAGGCTGGAGGTAAGGCAGAAGCTGTTCCCTGTGAGGGTGCTGAGGCGCTGGCACAGGGTGCCCAGAGAAGCTGTGGCTGCCCCATCCCTGGCAGTGCTCAAGGCCAGGTTGGACACAGGGGCTTGGAGCAAGCTGCTCCAGTGGAAGGGGTCCCTGCCTGTGGCAGGGGTTGGAGCTGGAGGAGCTTTAAGCTCCCATCCAGTCCAAACCAGGCTGGGACTGTGTCCCAGTTTCAAAGCCTGGCAGGTACCCTGGTTTGGATACGGAGCCTGGGCTGCAGCTCAGCCTCCAGCACCCTCACCCCTCTCCTTCATCCCAGAGCTCCTTTTAAGTCCTGCTTCAAGGGGAGGAAAGGGAGGAGGGCAGGGGAGGGGGTAGATCATAGTTCAGCCTCTATTTGCTGGTGAAAGCTCCCTCTTGCTTTCAGGAGCTCTCTGGCCTGGCAGGGGAAGGAGGGATTTAACACTTTCCCTTGCCAGCGGCTGCATGCTGGAGGCAGGGAAGCTTCCTCAGGAAGGGTGAAGGGAGAAAGGATGCAGAAATCACCCACTTGGATTTCCTTATCCTTTCTCCTGAATACGGCAGGAAAAGGGAGTGAAGACAGAAGTGTGAGCACTCCTCTGCACTGTTCCAGAGGGGAAACTCAGGCATGGAAGGATGGGATGGCAGTGCCGTGCTGCGGGGAATTGAGCTCCCTGGAAGGTCACAGCACAAGGCTTTTCCCTCCCTCTTTTGAAGAGGAACCTTTAAAAAAGGCGTTTCAAACCGCTGGCATTTATGAGACAGATCACTTGTTAATGTGCATGGGGGAAGGTCAAAGTTATCGGGTGGCTTCAGGCATGAAAACAGCCGAGGGTGAACCGAGAGCTGAAGGTAAAACTGGATGCGGGTGTTCGACAATAACAGATCCAAGGGCACGTACCCCATCACCTCCCCAGCGTGTGCCCAGGGTCACGGTTACAAGCAATGCTCTGGAAGGGGAGATTAGAGCTGTTTTCACCCCCTCCATCTCCTTTCAAGGTGGAGCATGAGCAAAGAGACACTACAAGGACACGAGTATTCTGAGCTGTGCAGCACTGCAGGGCACCAGCTCACATGGAGTTAACCACTAACCCTGGCCGGTAAGAGCAGGCTTCCCCAGCCAGCTTCCCCACTGTCCCCTATGGGCAGCTTGGGCTCCCATCTCCCTTCTCCCCATTGCCACGGAGTGGGACACACGCTCAGACCTGGTGCTCATTTTAACACCCACTTACAACAGAACTGAGGAAGAAGGGAGGGAATTCAGTACCCTAACCCCCTAACCCCCCCTCTTCTTCTCGATGGGGTTAATTTACCCCCAGTGCTTCTGTTGTGCTGGCTCCTGGGGGGTCCCGGTTCAGGGGGTGCTTTAGGCTGAGCAGGCTGCCCACAATAGGGACTGAGTGCCTGCAGGAAGGCCTGTCCCTGGGTGATAAACACCCACCCTTCTCTTGCCCAGAGCCTGCCCTGTAAATCAGCCTTAAATGGAAGCAGCGTGCAGCATGGCTGCAGTGGAAATTCCTGCTTGAATTGGTGGGGGAATGACGTATCTGCCGGCATGTCCCTGAGCCTGGAGAGCGGGAGAGGGCGAGCATCGCTCCCGAGCTTCAGCACCCTCGCCCGACACAAAGCTGCCTTTGTCTGGAGCTCTGGGTCAATGTTATCTCTGTGGTTTGACAGCGCAGACAGCTCCGACGGTCCCGTTTTATCCATGGCTGAGACGCGTGGAGCAGGCACGGGGACTCTGGAACAAGTGCTTGCCAGGAGGAGGATGTGGTCGCCAGGCGCTGGATGCTGACAGTTGACCTCCCGCTGCTGGGATGTGTCTGAGCGCCCAGTATAAACCATGGGGCAAACTGGGAAACCTCCTCCCATCCTGAGTTTCTGCACAGCCATTCCCTAAGGAGCATTAGGGGGACTTTTCAGGGAGAGGATGGAGCAGGTCCTTCCCCATCCTGCTGGACGTGCACAGAGCAGTGCACTGGCACTGTGAGCTAACTGGAAAATTCATTGCTCTCTAAGGAGCCAAATGACTGCAGCTGAAGTCAGTGGTATCTAGAGCCCAGAACACATGGTTTTGGTTAAACAAAAGGCCCTGCATACTTTTGGGGCTTGTAATAGAAGTACCCACCCAGGAAACCAGCAGGAATTCTTCCCCTTCGAATCCCAGTTCAGCTGAACTATTTTTGGCATAGACAGGCACAAACTGCTGCAAGGAGAGACCCAGGTTTCCATTGCCCACCATGGCTGGGAGTGCAAGTGTTCATCCTGCCATGAGTGTGGCCACCAAAGAGAAGATGCTTCCCATACATCCACATCTTGAGTGGGTTAGAGAAGATGCTTCCCATATATCCACATCAAGTGGGTTAGAGAAGATGCTTCCCATATATCCACATCTTGAGTGGGTTAGAGAAGATGCCTCCCATATATCCACATCTTGAGTGGGTTAGCTACAGCTCTGCTCATCTGGCTGGAGCCGAGGAGCCTCGCTGCCTTCCTCCAAGTCCCAGGGATGATGATGATGGTGAGGGCAGCCCTGTTGGCACAGAGGTGTTCAATGCACTGAGCCCTTTCCCTGGCGAGCAGCGGTTTTCCTGCTGAGCCGCTGTTTCCCTGCAGCGCCATGGGAATGCTGCTCCCCGTTTTCAGGCTGTCACCTGCCTTTGCCTCTGCTTTGGGCTGTGATTAGAGACTCCAGTTACTCACAGTACAGCCTCAGTGAATCACCACGTCCCTGAGGGCGGGTCCACATCATCCAGACGTTGTGCAACTCTCAAAGCTTTACATTATACAGGGTTTGTTCCCTTTCAGCACAAGTTCCCCTGCACAAAACCGCCCCAAAGCCAAACCCAAGGTGACTTTCCTCACTTCCCGGCTTGTTGGGAAAGGATGGCTGTTTTGCAAAGGGAGTGAGCGGTTCCCTGCCTTCGCGCCTCCGGGATTTACCACCCTTTTCCGCGGAAAACCAAATCTTGTGACTTTCCTCGCTCAAGGTGGCTGCTGTGTGATGGGGGCAAAGCGGGAACCATTCCTGGGGCCTCCTGCCTGAACGGGGAGCTCGGAAACGGAGTCGGGGACGGGGAATGGAATGAATGGGAAGGGAAATAAGGGGTGAGAAAAGGAAAGTTCTGCGAAAGCCGAGCCCGGCCCCTGCGGCTGCCACCAACCCCAGCGAAACCCCGAGCGCTTCCGGGCAGGAGCACGGGGCTCGGCGGAGCCCAGCGCCGGCCTCCGCGACGTAACCTGGCTCCTGCCCCTCCTCTCCGGTCCCTCCTCCCGCCTTCATAAGCGCCTTCCCCGCTCCGCTGCCCGTAGAGTCCCATTCACCGTGCCCGGCGCTGCGGAGCCCGCCCAGACCATGCCATGCCCGGGGACCTTCACCGAGCCCTGCCCGTGCCCGTGCCCGGGGCCGCGCTCACCGCCGGGGCCGCCGCTCTCCGCTCCGCTCCGCTCCCTGACGCGCAAGATGCGCTCGCTGCTGCGCTGCGCGCCCCGACGGCTCTGCCCGCCGCCCGTGCTGGTGCTGCTGGTGCTGCTGGTGCTGGTCACGGTACGTGGGGCCGGGGCCGGGGGGGGCCGTGGGGGGCTGTGCGGAGGGGTCCGGGACCCCCGTTGGCGCTGCCCGCTGCTGCCGGGACATGCCCGGGCTTGCCGCGCCATCGAGGGGCCGCGGCTGCCGCGCTGGGGAAGGGTCTTGAGAAGGGGCTGAGGGGGGGACACACAATGAATGGGAGGGGGCAACAGGGGTGCCCTGGGATGGGGCCGCGGGTTCAGCCGGGGTGGGGGGCGGTGGGAATGGGGGGTGCCGCTGGTGTAGGGGAGCAGGGGTTAGGGCTTGCCTGGCCAGAGCAGGGGAGGGGGCAGCGTCCACTTAATCAGCGATATGGGGGGGGTCCGGGGCGTGGGGTTCATAGTGTTCCCCCCAGCTGGGGGAGGCTGGGGTGATGGTGGGGTCACCAGCACCAGGGACCGTGGTGGGAGTGAGATTATGGGGGTCTGACTTAGCCTGGGGGCTGTGGGAAGAGTGAGGGCTATATGGGCTCGCCTGGTCCATGGGACTAGGGGGGGGTGAGGCTATAGGGTGTCCCCCATGGCACAGGGCCTATGGGGAGAGCTGAGGGTATAGCAGGGCTCAGCAGGCAGGTGGGGCTCAGGGGGTTCATCCTCGCTGATGGAGGGCAGCAGCGCATGGGGGGCCTGTGGAGCACAGTGGGAGCAGCAGCATGGAGGTGGAACGGGAACGGTGATCTCAGCCTCCCCGGTGTGGGGCTGCGGGCGAGCAGCTGAGCGAGGGCCATGAGGCTCCATGTGGGGCTGGAGGCATGTGCCGGAGGGGGGGGATTTCCAGTCCCTGCGCTTCCCGGCCTTGAGCGCCATTCCAGGGTCGGGATCTGTTGGCAATGCCGAGGCTGTGCAGGGTGTTTGAGGGCATTGGGGTTGGATGCGGGCAGGAGCGCTGCCCGGTGCGGGAACGCTGCCTGATGCAGGAACACTGCCTCCAACTCGCCCAAATGATGCCCAAACTCAGCGCACCACTCCCTTTTAGGACAGAAAGTCCCACCTGCCCATGCACTGGGTGTTGGCGCAGAGATCAGACATACCTGATGACTTGTCTCACCTCAAGGCAGTCGGATTCCCACCCTGAGTTTTAGGTTCCTGCTGCCACGAGGGATCGCAGTGGAGCTGTGGCCCAAGGACATGTGGTTGCTTGCTCCCTACTGGAATTCCTGCCGTAGTTGGTTGGAAGGAGTCACCTCCTCATCCAGTTCCTTCCATCTATCAGAGTTCATTTACACGTGCCTGGAAAGCCAGGCCTTACCAAACCCATCACCTAAGATCCCTTTCCTCTCTTTCTCCCATCTTCTATTTAATGCAACAAAAAGGGAGGAGGGACCTGTTGGGACTGACGATGCCCACGTAAGAACACATGATACCGTAGCAGCAGCTCTTGCCTGTTGCATCATGCCTGGACTTTGGCCACCCTAATGGGCTGCTGCGAAGGAATGCGGCCTGGATCCGTGCTTTTGTGGGAGCTCACATTCCATCTGCAGGAAGCCGGGAACGGGGGGAGCCCCGCTGTGTTGGTCACACCGGGAACGGGGGGAGCCCCGCTGTGTTGGTCACACCGGGAACAGGGGGAGCCCCGCTGTGTTGGTCACACTGGGAACGGGGGGAGCCCCGCTGTGTTGGTCACACCGGGAACGGGGGGAGCCCCGCTGTGTTGGTCACACTGGGAACGGGGGGAGCCCCACTGTGTTGGTCACACCGGGAACGGGGGGAGCCCCGCTGTGTTGGTCACACTGGGAACGGGGGGAGCCCCGCTGTGTTGGTCACACCGGGAACGGGGGGAGCCCCGCTGTGTTGGTCACACCGTGCCCATGGACGAGCAGCAGTCGGGTGTCTGCTGCCACCTCCTTTGTCCCTGGTCCTTCACTGAGTTGGCTCAGAGCCTCTGGCGACCGAGGGCTGTGGATGCTCAGGGAGGGCTCTGTCCTCTGCTGTAGGGTCCAGCTCCTTCCTCCGGATCCCTTCAGGACAAAACCACGTTGGGAACGGAGGAAGGGGCAGTTCCAACGCTTGGTGCTTCCAGAGCTTTGCCTCCACGCTTTGACCATCCCAAAGGAAGAGGGTTTTCCCTGCTGAGGGCACCCAGATTCCCCTGCCCGGGGCAGCGAGGCTTTGGGATGTTTACCCTGGGTGAAAGCTGCTCCTGGCTTCACCCACAGCTCCCAGCCCGTGCTTTGGGGCACTGACACCTTAGTCAGGGTTAGTCAGAGCTGCCAAGGGCTTTGTGCTGGGCTGGCGTGCTTGAACTGCACTCGCAGGTGCTGTGGGCTGATAGCCTTATCGTGCACTTGGCCAAGCTCTGCCTGAGCCTCATGAGGAGCTCCCCCCTGCTCGCAAGGGGCCTTTCAGGGAGCGCATTGCTGGGTGTCTCTATTGTTTTAACCTTTAAAGCAGCTGCTGAGTCACAGGAGAAATATTTCCTTTAAGAAGCAGGTTTCATGCTCAGGGTGGGAGGGGAAGGAGGAAATGCCTCCAGGCTGTCACTGCAGCGTGGCTGGGCATTGCCCCCCTGTATCCCAGCCTTACAGGGGCAGAGGTAGGAGCAGGTTTATCCCCCTGGAGCAGCGTGAGGACATTGGGGTGCCCCAAAACCCCCTCAGGCCCCAATGGGGTGAGCGGCTGTCCCTGTTGAACATTGTCCCCCTGCAGCTGGCGTGACCCAGTACAGGAATTGCTGAGCCAGGGAAAGATGCTCGGGAGCCAGTGGAAACGTGGCCTTTGTTTTCATGATCCGCAGCAGGATAACGTGGATAAGGCGGAAACTGGGAGCATGGAGCAGCCCAGGGTGCTTCTGGTGGGCACAGGAGCCACATCCCGGCCGTGGGGCTGGTTTCCTCCCAACAAACACCCTCCCCATCCCTCTTCCACTTTCTTTGGTGCTGTGGGTTCAGGCGCTCACCAAATGGGGAAGGAAAAGGGGCCTGATGTTATCCTGAGGAAGCGTGAGGGAGCCTTGGCCTTGCTGATAACCTGGCAATGGGATTCCCTCTGCAAACCTTCTCCTTCTCCATGGAAATAACCACCCTGGATGGGGGAAGCACCCTTCACCTGCATGGAGGGGAGGTCTGGTCGCTGGGTCCAGCAGCTCTGAGCCATCCTCTCCCACTTGGTCTGAGCGCAGTGGGCAGAGCCCTTGCCTGTCTCTTTCTCCCGTTGCCCCATGGATTTGGGGTGGGTTTTAAAGCAGGTTTTCCTCGATTGTTTCAACAGGAAGTTCCTTTGGGAACGGCTGCATCAGCGCTGCATAGGAGGGACAAGTTGGATCTGTTTGGGGCACACAGGGGAGAGGAAGAGTTTTACCTCGTCCAGAACAGCAATATCTACTGCAGGAAATGCGCTGCGGGTAAGGTGGTCTCCAGCATCCATCACTGCCGGTGCATCCTCACCACCGCAGCGTGGTGTGTCCGTGCTGCTTGGGAGGAGCAGCGGGAGCTCCAGCTCTCCCGTGCTCCACTCTCATAGAGTCCTGGAATGATTTGGGTTGGAAAGGACCTTAAAGCTCATCCAGTTCCAGCTGCTTGGCAGGTTAAAGCCATTCCCCCTTGTCCTGTCCCTGCAGGCCAGGGTATGGTTGGCAGAATGGGTTTTGTCTCATTATGAGATCTAAGGACTCATTATGGGAACGTTTTCCTCCCTGTCTGCAAAGACATCTCCCTCCTGACCTCTCTGTTCACTCAAACCCTGTCTTTCTCCTGCCCTCCTTGCAGGCACCTACGTTGCAGAACACTGTAAAGAGCAGAATGGCTTCAGCAAGTGTTTGCCCTGTAGAGACAATGAATACATCGAGTACCCCAATGACCTCCCCGTCTGCTTTGTCTGCCGGACGTGTCGGGAAGGTACGAAGCGAGGAACCCTCAGCACCCTCACAGGGAAGAGCTTCTGCCTAAGAGCTCAGCTCAGTCTCCCCTCGGGCAGGTTCAAGCCATTCCCCTTGGCCTGTCCCTACAGGCCCTTGTCCCAAGCCCCTCTCCAGGTTTCCTGCAGCCCCTTTAGGCACTGGAGCTGCTCTAAGGTCTCCCCTTCAGGAGCCTTCTCTTCTCCAGGCTGCCCCAGCCCAGCTCTCTCAGCCTGGCTCCAGGGCAGAGCTGCTCCAGCCCTCACAGCATCCCCATGGCCCCATTAATGACCCCGAGTGCCTGAGCATGGGCTGCTCTGGGTACAGCGCTGTCTCCTCTCGCCCGCAGATGAGGTGGAGCTGAGTCCCTGCCGAGCCACCCAGAACACGCGATGCGCCTGCAGGAACGGCACCTTCTGCTCCCCGGAGCACCCCTGCGAGATGTGCCAGAAGTGCCAGCCCCGGTGAGCTGGGAGAGGCGCCGGGGGCCTCTGCGATGGGTGCTGGGACCCCCGGCGCTGAGCCTGCCCTGTGCTCCCCTCTGCAGGTGTCCCAAGGGCGAGGTGGAGCTGGCTCCCTGCACATCATCCAGCGACCGCCGCTGCGGGCCTCCCACCACCACCATCCCCAGCCTCTCCAGTAAGTGTGGGGCTGCTGTTGGAGGGGAGGGCGGAGGGATGGGGCTGAGCTGCTGCTGAGACCTGGAGCATCTCCCCGCATGCCCTGTGTTATCCCCTTCCAGCCAGCTCGATCGTGATCATCTCAGTGATGGTAACCGGGCTCTTCGTGGGGCTCCTCTGTCTCTGGAAGTACTGCTGCTGCCATTCCACAGGTGAGCACGGCCTCATCCCACCCTCACCACGGGCTCTGCATGGGTAGGAAGAGGGGCCTGCTCTGGAGGATGAGGGGTCACAGCACTGCTTTCACCTTCCAGGGGACAGGAGAGACCTGAGCGGGAAGCCCTGCAACGTGATGGTGAGTTGCTGGGATGAGGTCCCCCATGGCTTCTGCTCCCCATGGCTCCTGGGAAGGCTGAAGGAGCAGGGGCATGAGTCTCATCCCTGCAGGGGTGTGCTAGAGCTGGGCTAAGCAGAGGAAAGTCTGCTCCATGTGGAGTGCTTGCAGCCCCCTCCCCAGTGCCTTTAACCCTCCCCTGGCACATCCAGGGTCCCCCTCAGTTTGAAGGGAGGGCTGTGCTCTCCTGGGGTCCCTTCAAGCTCAAGATGAGCACACAAGCCATGCCCTTGGAACCAGGGCAGGGCAGATGCTGGTGCCATAGGTGGCATCTTTGAGGGGTCAATGTGAGCCCTGCCCTCCCAGGACCACGCAGCTCAGCTGGTTTGTGTTTCTCTCTGGCTGCAGGACTACCTGCTGCAGCGGGTGATCAGGTTCCGGAGCAGGAACCTGGGCAATCAGGACAACAGGCTCAATGAGATTTTCCCTCAGGATCCACTGCTCCCCAGTACCCCAGGACCGGTGACTCCCAGTGCTCCGGGAGCAGAGGTACGTGAGCGTGCTCCTCTGCTCCATCCCGCTTGGCCGGGGAGCAAGATGCTTTCCTCTGCCTTCAAGCTCATCAGCTTGGGGGCTTGCAGGGCTGGACCCTGATTCCTGCATGGAGGCAGTGAGGGGTTCCCTGCCCTTGCTCTGGGCTCAGGGCTCTGAAGGCTGCCACAGTCCTGTGCAGGTTTAACACGGCTGCAGGGTGGGCAGCCAGGAACCAGGACCCACAGGGCCCCTCTCTGCTGCTCGTGGCCTCTCGTCCCAAAGCCAGGAAGCGATGGGTGCCTTTGGGGTGTGTGGTGATGTCCTGCCCCAACAGCCCCAGAGGCAGGGAGAAGGTCTCCAACCCCGCCATGAATGGGGCTTGGGGGCAGCGTTTGTGCTGGGGCTTGGCGGGTGCTGGAGGACGTGATCTTTCCAGGTGCTGGTGCCGGGGAGCTCGCAGCCCACTGGGAAACCCAGGAAGAAACTGGTTCCAGTAGAAGGAGCAGAGCCTTATACCCGTAAGTGTTGGGGCCCAAGGGGTGTGCGGGGGGTGAACCAGCTCTCCCGGCTCTGCTCTGTCCTCTGAGCTTTCCCCTTCTCCCCCTTCCAGGTTTGCAAAGCAGCTTCTACACCTTTGCCCAGAAGGTGCCCCACGACCACTGGAAGAGGTTCGGGCGAGCCCTGAATCTGCTGGAGAACGACATTGCCCTGGCAGAGAAGGAGAGCGGGCTGGAGATGCTGATCGAGATGCTCAAGAAGTGGCAGGAGAAAGGAACGATCGACACGTCGGTGAACACGCTGCTGGACACCCTGCACCACATCAGCCTCGGCGGCGTTGCCGAGGACATCGCCTTCAAGCTGGTCAAGGAGGGATCCTTCCAGTATGAAGTGAGCTGAGGAGCAGGGCAAGCCCTGCATCTCCCTGCTTCGAGCTGAGGCCACACGTACCTCTAAGAACACTGGAGTTTTATCTTCCTATAGCTCTGCTGTGGCTCTTCGGTAGCCATCGCACAGCCGGAGCCAGGAATGGTCCTCTCATGAAACGCAAACCTCGTGGTCCTCTCTGCTGAAGCCATGGGCTCCATGGTGCTTCCTTATGGAATCCAAGACGGTGCTTGGGGTTCAGTGGGTCAATGCAAAGAGCCCTAAACTCTACTGCAAGCTGCCTCTGGCATGGTCTCACTTGGGAACTCTGGTACTATATGGATGCCTTCAGGACCAGTGCAGAGAGGGCAGGATGCAGGCATCCCCGTGGCTTTTAACTGGATCATCCTTTTGGAGGGGGTTCCTGGCATCATGCAATGGCTTCTGCTCGTAGGACGTTTCTAAGCTGGCCAGCAAGCTCAATACTGTACGTTCAGTGGGCAAGCATTAACTGGGTTCTGGGGTTACCTTCTCAAAGCTGTTCACCGAACGCATTGTAGGTGGCAGTGCTTCTGCTTGCTGCGAGGAATCAGCTTGAAACTGGACTCTGAGGAGAGAATGGGAATGGTTTACAATGGTGATCCCTGGGGTTGCAGGCTCTGCTGTCCCTGTCTCCTCCAGCTTGGAAAGATGAATGCACTGAGGTCCGAGCATGACTGTGGGTACCGGCCATCCATCCTCCAGCAGGATGGGCTGCTGCTCACTGTGCCTCTTGCTCTGGCTCTCACCCATCGCTCAGGGACAACTTGGCTGGAAAACACAACTACTGCGTTACTGGAGCTGGTGTGTGCTGCATCCCAGTACAACCCAGCCCATCAGGACCTGTCCTCCCCTGTGTGCTGGGAGAGCATGAGGGGCATCACCAACCCCTCTCTGGTGTCCCTCCCACTGCTGCCCATTCTCCCCAACACTTAAAACCCCAAAAACGATCAAGCACAAGCAGCAAGGTTGTATTTATGTATTTATTAAGTAATGTAAACCTGTACAGATCTTAACTTAAAAGCGAATATAAAAATAGTGTTGTTTCTTTATGCATGGGTGTGTTTTTATACAGAGCTCTGGCCCAGCCAGTTTCTTATGTCCAGTTTTTACATGTCTCTTTATCAAGGAAGAATAAACGTTTAAAAAAGCCTCCTCATTCCTCACCTGGGTTTCTTCCCCCCTCCCTTTGCTCTGCCACGGGCACCAAAGGAGCTGGACCAGATGCTCAGCACTGAGGATGCAGCCCATGGCATCCTCACGCCAGCACCCCACTGGGAATGCTCCCCCCAGCTACGCTGCCAGGGAGAGCCCTCGGCAGCAACCTGGGTTATGCCTTTACACCTACACCACGAGTCCTGTGCTCTTGAGGTGCCTGCAGGAGGCTGAGACCTCGGTCCCTTGGGTGCGCAGGGCTGGGACCCCGGGCTCGAGCGATGCTTTGAGCCCATGCAGGGGCTGCTGCTGCGGGGGGATCCAGCGCCACCCCGCCAGGGCTCTGTTGCTATCAAGCTGCGTGGCAATCCATGCAGTGCTCAGGGAGAGAAGGGCTCTGCCCGCCCCGAGCGCCCCTTTGAGCTTGCCCCCAGCCTTTGCAGTGCGGTTTGATCCGGAGCAGGGCTCGGAGGCGAGCGGTCAAAGCAGGAGCTCTCAGGGACCTGTCCCGGGCAGCCCCAGTGCGCCTCTGTGCATGCAGACCTGGGCAGGAGGCTCCTGCAGAGCCAGGCACATGCAGGGGTAGTGCCGGGACACAGGCTCAGCTCCCAGCCCGGGGAAGGCAAACAGGACTCGGATTCAAAGGGAAAGAAACGTTCATCCTACCTGGAGCTGCAGCCTTGCTCCTGCAGCTGAGGATGAGCATGAGCATGCGGAACGAGGGACTCCAAGGTGCTCTGGAGGAGGAGCAATGGAAAGCAGGAGGACACCACCCAGAGCATCCCTGTTGGGAGCATCCCTCCAGCAGCTGCTTCTCCCAGGGATGGGGCTTAAAGGAGCATCTCCATTCCCAGCCAAGGAAGGCGAGCGGAGGTTTGGGTCTCTCCTGCTCACCCCCTGTGCCTGTCAGTCCTGCAGAGCCCTGGGGCCACGCTGCCTCCTCCTGCAGTAGGTACCTGCTGTGCTGGTGCACCTGCAAGGTGGGACATGCAAAGTCAGTCCGATGGGAAAGCCACCTCTCGTTGTACAAGGCGTTGATGGCTGGATCCTGCAGAGCTTCCCTGTCCCTGTCCATCCCAGGAGCGCCGGTTGGGGGGTGCTGGCGTCACCCCAAGCAGGGCACAAGGAAGCCTTGTGTCCAGCCGCTTCCTCCCAAACACACAGGGACCACGCTGGGCTTTGAAAACACCATTTATTACAATGGAGCCTTCCAGGCTAGAATCCCAAGCCAAGGGCCTGGGCCTGGTTTCTGCTGTGGCAGGTTGTGACGGGGCCGTGGGGTTGGGGATGGGGCTTGGTTTTTGCCGTAGGTTTTCCTGTTGAACAAAACGGAGTTGGGAGGCAGGAACGAGGGAGCTCCTGCTCCCGAACCAGGACGGACCCCACCGGTGAGCAGAAGGGATGCTGCAGTGCCTGCAGGCAGCGGGGGACCAGGGTCCCCTGCACTGTGCCTGACCCTGCTGCAAGTCAAAGGGGGTGGCGGAGCCCCCCCGGTGGCTCCGGCTGCCCGGGGTGATGAGATGCCATCAAACCAAGCACATCCCACCGCTCCTGCTCGCACATCAGAGTGGAAGCCGATGGGTTCTTCTTCTTCTTCTCCTTCCTTGCGCTGCTGATGCTCATCAGAAGAAACAAAACCACCCCCAAACTAACCCCGCGCCAGCCCTCGTGCTCCTGCAAGCGGGAGATTCTCCTGCTGCTCGCTCCGGAGAGCAGGGCTCCAGGAGCTGCTGCGCATCCCCAGGGGTGAGCCCCTGCTGCCATCGTCTCCTCCAGGGCTTCGGCTGCTGGCGGCTGCTCCACGCCTGGCGCTGGGGCAGGGCTCCCCCGTTCCTCCTCCTCCTCCTCCTCCCCGGGATGCTGGAGCCAGGGCGAGGACGGGCTCTCAAACCACAGCCGAGGAGGAGGAAGAGGAGGAGGAAGAGGAGGCTGTGGCTGCCGACGACGAAGGAGAGGAGGAAGGGGAGGAGGAGGCGTTCCAGAAGAGCCAGCGCCTCTTGGGCTGCCGCTTGAGGTGGAGGTAGTCTTCCTTCTCCCGCTCCTTCTTCGCCCGCTGGTAGTGATCCTCCTCCTTCAGGTACCACACCGGCGGCCAGCGGTGCTTCTCGAAGTACTCCTGGTTCTCTGCAGGGAGACGGGGGGGTGAGGGCAGTGCTGGGACCCCCGGAACCCCCCTCTCCCCGCCCCGGCCCCCACTCACCTCCCGACATGGCCTTCATGTCCCGGGGGAACTTGCGGCAGACGTTGTTGTAGTTGGTGCAGATGTGATGCAGGCACCAGTCCGCCAGCTGGTAGGCGCAGTGGAACTGGGAGAGATGGAGCCCACGTCAGAGCCACCCTCAGGCACGTTAAAGCCATTCCCCTCGTCCTGTCCCTGTATCCCTTATATCCCAAAGCCCCTCTCCAGGTTCCCTGCAGCCCCTTTAGGCTCTGGAGCTGCTCTAGGGTCTCCCCTTCAGGAGCCTTCTCTTCTCCTTCCAGCCCTTTCTCCTACCTGAGCCAGCTCCAGGAACACGAGCACGTCCCCATCGATGTCCACCATCATCTGTGCCGCCTCCATCAGGCCGGTGACCGTGTACTGCTCTGTGAGGGACACACGGGGTTGGAGCGGTTGGGACACGGGAGCATGGGGACAGTGGGGAGCCAGCACCGCGGTGCGGCTGGCAGGACTCACCAGTGAGAGCCACCAGATGCGGCAGGCAGAGGCGGTTGGCGAGGATGATGAGCTTCATGTCGTCGAGGTCGGGGCTGGAGCTGAACTGCCCGGTGTAGAGGTACTCCAGCACCGCCCGCATGCAGCTCTTGCTGGTGTAAGGAAGTGCCACCTACGGGACGCGCACCGTTGTCACCCTGCGACCGTCCCCACCTGTCCCCCCCATCCCGGCAGGCTGTGGCCTCACCTCGTTGGTGGAGCTCTCCACAAAGGGGCCGCCGAACATCGCGGCCATCCAGTCGCAGCTGGAGATGAGCAGGGGCTTGTGGGCACTGATAGCACCATCATCCAGCACGAAGGTGACATCTGGGGACAAGCAGAGCGATGCTGCTGGGACCATCCCTGTCACCAGGGCTCAGGCACCCCCCGGCTCGCACCGGGGACCGCAGAGGGAAGGGGACAGAGCCTGGTCCTTCCTGTGTTTTCTCCCTAAAGGTCCCCGTTTCATTTCCCAGTATCTCCTCATCACTCAGACGAGCTCAGGGAAGGGCCTTGCTCAGGCTCTGCCTCTTCCAAGCGGTTTTCCCAAGGCACAACACAACTCATTGGGAAGCAAAGTGGAAATCCCAGGAACCAAAAGTCTCGCCCAAGCCTGAACCTTGGGACAGAGCTTGGAATTGCTGGGGGTTTCCCATGCCCTGTTCTGCTCTCCGGCCTGGACCACAGCTTCTCCCCAAGGCCAGCACATGTCTGCCCCTGACAGCGACAGCCTGGCCTCATCCAGGCCCAGCCCCACGCAGCCGGAGGGATGCTGGGACACTGGCACCCTTGGGACATCCCCCCGCAGCAGCACGGCACACGCCGGTGGCACGCGGTGCTGGGGAAGGCCCACCCAGGGCACGGTGCTGCTCATAAATCAATGACCCCATGAAACCCAGACCTGGGGGGGGGGCAGGAAGTCGCCTTTGCTGCTCTCTGTGGACAAACAGAACCCTGGGCTGGGCTGGGGAGCAGCAACCCCTGCGGCAGGAGCATCCCTCGCAGGGTAAAGCACAAAGCCATGGAGCTCCCAGGCACCCAAAACGTGTCCCTGGGGCAGGGACATCAGCTCCGAGCCCCCATCCTTCCATTAGAGCCCCCCACAAAGGAGATGTGGTCCTCCCCCTGGGCCCGTGGCTGTACCCGAGAAAGTCCCCTTGGCCAGGCATTCCTTCACCCGGTTGGTCCTCCGGACGTGGAAGGCTTTGGTGATCTCCTGGTTCATGAACGCCTCGTTGTTGAGGATGTTGGCCACCATCATGCGGAGGTCGAACACCTCCAGCAGCTCAGCGATGTGAGCGATGTGCATGAGGTCCCGCTCGTTCTCATCCAGCTCCCCTGTGTACAGGTACTTCAGCACGGCCCGGAAAGGACCCGGCTGGATGGAAGCGTCCATCTTCACCACCACCATCAGCTTGGACTTGTAGGTCAGGGGGTCTTCTGCCATCTCCTCCTGGATGCTGGTGAACGCCCGGCTCCAAGAGGACAGGTTCCGTCCCCGCCGCAGCCCGTGCTCCCCGTTCTCGTAGCGGTTGCCCCGCAGGATCCCATCACTGGTGGAGGCTCTAAGGCACGGTTTCCTCTGGCCAGACCCGGCCTCCTCGGTGCTCTCACAGATATCAAAGCTCGCAGCACGGAGGAGGAAATCCCGCCCGTGGTGCCTCTCCTCTTGGTGCAGCATCCGCTCGGCGGCCGCCGTGACGGCCACCCCGAAGCCGTGCCCCGCGGTGCTCTGCTGCTCCTCCTCGCTCAGGTCCATGAGGAACAGGTCGTAGAACTTGGAGGAGGAGGTGGAGAGGTAGATCTTGTGTGCGTAGATTTTGATCTTCTCTTGCAGCACCAGGATGACGTCCGCGCACAGCGGGTCCTCCAGGAGGTGGGCAGGACGCTCCTCGTTGTTGGAAGGGGGGTCCGGGACCATGATGATGGGTGGAGGGGGCTTTGGGGGCAGGAAGGGGGCTTGGAGGAGAGGCCGCTGCACGTTGCGGAGGTGGGACTTCCAGAACTGCAGGTGACGGCGGGAGATGAGGGCGGCGCGGATGGCGTTGTCGAAGACGTCCTTGATGCCAAACTGGGCCACCACGCTCGTCTCGTAATAGGGGATGCCCAGCTCCTTGGCCACCTCCCTCCCCTTCTCCGGGGGAAGGATCTCATTGGGTTTGATTGGCCTAGGAAAGAGGGGGGACAATGAAGAGGTGTGCGCTAAGGGCAGGTACAGGCATCCCCGTGGCACGAGCCCTACCTGGCCAAGGGTCGCCGTGCCCGGTTGACGGCCTCCAGGTCGGCGTAGCGCAGGTCGAGCTGGCAGCCCACCAGGATGACGGGCGCGCGGGGACAGAAGTGCTTGATCTCTGGGTACCACATGGTCTTCACGTGGTGCAGGGAGTTGGGGTTGGCGATGGAGAAGCACAAAACCACGACGTCGGACCTGCGAGGAAGGGGAAGGTGCAGCTTGGGGATGGAGCTTTGCTCTCCCACCATGCCGAGGGTACCACAAGGCTCTGCCTCTCTCCTACCTGCCATAGGCAAAGCGCCTGTCTTTGTGGTGGTCACCAAAGGTGTCCCAGAGCCGCAGGGACACACTAACATCATCTACCACGTCCCGGGAGCGCTCCAGCACCTGCGGGAACAGAAGCACCATCCAGCTCCTTAGTCCTTGAGCCCTGCAAGAGTGGGGCTGTCCCCACCGCATGCAAGATACAGAGGAGTCATCCCCAGTTCCCCCATGGGGAGGATGCCGCTCCCTTTCCTTGGGGCTCCCTTGGAGTATCCATGAGCTGAGCATCACCCTCACCTCCTGGCAGACCCGGTACTGGTCGATGGCCCACACTGTGGGCACGTGGGTGGCAAGGAGCTGGTACTGGGTCAAAGTGGCGTTGCAGGCGCGGGCGCAGATGAGTCGGGTCTTGCCCACCGCGTTGTCCCCGACCACGACGCACTTGATAGTTTCTACGTTTGGCCTCTCATAATCCATGTCAGAATCCATTAATTGGGACCTGGAGGGGAAAGGGGGGGTCGGAAATATGCTTGGGAGAAGCCAGGGTGGGCTGTCTCCAGATGGGATGGGATGGGATGCCAAGGAGGGGGGTGAAGCAACGATACGATGCTGATACTCACACTCAGAGCCACCAGCCCCTGGCAGCACCAGGGAAACGCTGCAGTGACCGGGAGCACCGGTGAAGGCAGGAATGCAAGCAGGGTGCAGGCAGAGTGCAGGCAGCTCCCCTGTAACGCTGCAGGTGCCCGTGGCAGCGTGCGCCGCGCGGCAGACACATGCCCTGCGTTCCATCCCCTCCTCCTCCCCGCTCTGCCTCACGCTTGTTCATGTGAGATGAGGCTTCTTCCTTCCCCCCCCCCTTCTTCCTTTCCCCTTTCTCCCTTTCCAGCCTTTGCAAGCGAAGCTTCCAGATCCGACCGACCGAGCGCTGCCAGCCTGGCCTGGGGGGGTCTCACCCTCGGTGCTGACCTCCCACCCCATTCCCACCGGGAATGGTTGCTCCCAGCTAAGAGCAGCAAAGGAGGAACTCATCACGTTCCCAGGAGGATCAGGAACCGTCGGGTTTGGGAAGGCTCCCAGCATCTCCAACCTTCCCCGGTGCTCCCAAGAGAGAGGTTGGTGCTGTGGGTGCTGCGAAGCCGATGCAAAGCACCCGTATCCCGTGAGGTGGAGCACCCTCTGCCTGCTCAAAGCCCCCTAAACCAGCCAGAAGGAACTCACCACAGCATTAAGACAGGGATTTATGTGGTTTCCAGGAGGAAAAGCAGGGAGGAGATTGAACCAAAGGGGGGAAAAGGACAAAGAAAAAACCACCTCACATCCCAATTGCTTTGAACTTCCCAAAGCCACAGATCTCTTCCCCCCCATCACCCCCTCCTGGCCCCGGCCTCACATGCTGCTCTAATAAACCACCAGCGCCAAGGCTCAGTGAGCTACAGCACCCGGTAACGATGGCAACGGAGCGCGGGGACCACGGCCACAGCGCCCCAAACCAGCCTGGCAAGGACTTCCCAATGTTAGCACCTCCCTCCCGTGCGCAGGCTCCCTGGCACACCTGAGCTACCCCAGGCAGCGGAGAGGGCACGTGAGAGGGCTCCGCACCGAGCAGCATCGAGCCACAGGGCAAGCGTAGGCAGAGGCGGTGGCACCGATCCAGGCCGCTTTAGGTGCCAGTGCCGAGGCATCGGCTGGTCCCAAGGCAAAAGTTCTCCGAGTTGCCTCATCCCCTCCATCCTTTGGGATGCAGGGAATTCTACTGCTGAGGGCATTGAAAACCGGGAGCTGCCACCTCCTTGGGCTCTGCGCAGTGCAAAGAGTCAGGGCAGGTTCTCTCCTTCCCTGTTAACCCATGGAAATCTGTTTCCATCTCATGCATCCCCCTCCAGCACTATCCCTGCTCTTCCCAGGATCAGCTTTCCCCTATGGGACCAGGAGATCTCGGGGGGGGTCATTGGTGCTCATGGAGCTTTGCTGCAGTTATTTTTAGGACCAGCCGTGCTCCCAAGCGGGCCAAGCTCATTCAGATGGGGAGAAGGCACATGGAGATGACAACTGCGGGAGGCTGCCTGGATGCTCATCCTGCACCCAGCCCAGCACAGGGGAAAGTCTGGTGCTCCCAGGGAATTAAGGGCTAAATCCTAACGGGATCATGGAGGGGAGGAAGAGGGGGACAGCAGCAGGCACAAAATATGGGCTCGGAATAAAGCAGAAGCACGCTAGGGAGCTCCCATCACCCCCGGAGGGGGCTGAGCCTCTTTGCAGGGACAATTCCAACAGCACCACGTAGCCACCTCCGCAACCACCTTCCCCCATCTCTCCAAAACCCACCACAGAGCAAGAAATAACCCGAGATGCCAAAACATCAGAGATCCCCCCCCCAAGGAAAAGCCTTTCCCTGTGGAGCAGGGATGCTCCAGCCTGCAGCAGCCCCCAGCACCGTTCTCCCTGCCAACCGCAGCCCCCAACCCAAACCACGGGCACCCAGTTCACCCCAATGGGACCCCCCAGAATCGCTCCTTCCAGGCTGCCCAGCCCGCGGTTGCCAAGGCAACTGCACCATCACCCCCGGACCGTCGCCTAGCAACTCCCAGGCTAAAAATCCTCCATCCCGCACCTCGCGAGCGGAGGAGAGGCCCCAAAGCGGGGGGAAACCGCCCCAAAACGGCAGCGATGCACGAAAATAACGCGGCCCCTGCCGGGACCCACCGGCGGCAGCCGTGCGATGGGGGGGGGGAGCCAGGGCCCGGAGGAAGGAGCCCGAAGGAAGGAGCCGGGGCTGTGCAGGCCGCGATGGGAGGGAGCGGGGCCCCGAGCAGGGCTGCGGCACGGACGGGCCCGGCCGCGGCACAGGGGACCCGGAGCACCGGGAGCGGGGCATTGCGATGGGGCCGGGGATGCTCGGAAGACCCACAGCGGGGATGTGGGGCATTGCGATGGGGCCGAGGGCGCTCGGAGCACCCATATCGGGGTGCAGAGCATTGCAAGGGGGCTGAGGAGCACCGGGATTGGGTGCGGGGCTGTACAGTGGGGACGGGAGTGCTCGGAGAGCCCACGCTGAAGATGAGGGCATTGCTATGGGGCCAGGTATGCTCGGAGCACCAAGATTGAGGCTTCAGGGCATCGGGAGTAGGAGCAGGGCACTGCAAAGGGGCCAGGGATGCTCGAAGGACCCGGATCGGGGTGCGGGGCATTGCAAGGGGCCGGAGGTGCTCAGAGCACTCAGATCGGGGGTGGGACATCTCAAGGAGGCTGGGTTAGACCCAGGCCGGGGGTGGAGGGCACAGCAGTGGGGTCGGCGGTGCTCGGTACCCCCAGGCCGGGATGCGGGGCACTGCAAGGCAGCGGCGGGTGCAGCGGGACGGGGCCGGGCCCCGTGGCGGGGCAGGATGCGGGGAGGGGGGCTCGGGAGGCGGGGGGGGGCTCCCCGGTACTTACACCAACACAGACGAAGCGGCGGCTCCCAGGGGCCGGGGCCGGGCTCTCCCCTCCGGACATGGCCACGGCGCAGGTTGCGCGGCTCGGCTCGGCGGGGCTGGGCGCTGCGCTGCGCGGCTCAGGGCCTGGGGCGGGGGGGCCCATGCCGGCACCTCGGCCGCCCCGCGCTCAGCATCCGCGGCCCAGCTGCGCTGCGCGGAGCCCTGCGCGGAGCCTTGCGCGGACGAGCCCTGCGCGCTGCAGTCGCGCCCGCCCCGCCTTTCATTCACAAAAAACAACCGGCCCCACCGAGGCCCCGCCCCCGGCCCCCCGCTGCCGCCCATTGGCTGAGAGAGACCGGGGGGGGGACGCCTGGGGGGCTGCGGGACCCACCTCCTGCCCCCTCTCGCAGGGGTCTTCATCCTGCTCCCCACCATCTGCGATGCATGGGGACCCTTGTCCTGCCACCCCAGTCCTGCCCTTGATAGGGACCCTCATCCTGCACCCCCAATCCTGCCTCGAATGAGAACCCCCATTTTGCCCCCTAGTTTTGCCATGGATTGGTCTCCATCCTGCCCCTAACCCACACCAGTGTGGGACTCCATCCCTATACCCCCATCTCAGCCTCCATCACCTGCTGCATCCAGCCCTCATCCTCTCCCTGCATCCCACCTCCATCCTCCCTCCTCTCCCTCACCCTCTGCCTGCCCCCTCCTTGGACCATCTTTCCCCCCCAACCCTTGTTGGACGGGGGCTACACGGATTCTTCCAGCCCCTCAGCTCCCCATCAGGCCATGTGTGCTGCTGCAGGCCACCAGCCCAGCTGAGGAAGGGGCTGCACCAGAGCAGACCCCTCATGTGGCTGCTCCCAGACCCCCCCTCAGCACCCGGGGCTGTTCTCCTGTGTGGGGCAGATGTGACCCATCTATCCACACGCTGCAGCGCTGCCCTTGAACCCCAGCCCGTAGCGCTCCTCACAGCCCCCTCCTCACCCCACAGCCCCCCCCAGCGCTGCCCCAAACCCCCAGCTCAGGGCACGTAAAACCCCAAAGTCATCCCCGCAGCGCGGCTGCCGGGAAGGCGCCGGGTCCCGCTGCCTTGACCCCGAACATCCGCATCATGTGATGCCTCGCCATCCTTTCCCAAGGCTTTCGGCCGCCTTTCCCCCCCCTTTTCCTGGTGCCGGGCTAAGCTCGGCCTCCCCAGCCCGTGGCACTGATGCAACCCCGCGTCAGCCGGCGTCAGCCCCCGGCGCTCACCTCGCAGGTCCAGCGGCCCCCGGTCCCTGCTCCCCATCCCAGCCCCGCATCCCCCCCCCCGGCATCCCCCCCCCCCGCCTCACCTAACTCGCAGGACCGGGATCTCTCTCTCCATAGCAGAAGGAGATGGAGTCGCTTACTGGGGAAGGGAGGGGGGGGGTCTGAGCCGGGCATAGGCAGCTCCCGGTGCTGCCTCCGAGCCCACGCCGGCTCCGTGAGCCCGTGGAGAAGCTTTTGGCTTCCCAAGGAAGCTGTTCCGTGCCTTGCAACGGGAGCTGCGAGCAGCCGAGCCGCAGCTCCGAGCCTTCTCCTGCCTGGAGTGGGTCACGGGGAAGGAACACGCAAGGCTGGTTTGGAGCCGCATGATTTGGCTTATTTGCTCTCTTGTAGCAGGTGCTTAATTGTGGCATAAAGAGCTGCCGGCGGCTTTCCGGGCAGCCGAATCCCGCCTGCGCCCTCCCTGCCAGGCACAACAACAGCACAATTGTCACCCGCGGGGCTCCCGGGCCCTTTTCCCGGCAGGAGGAGCAGGGATAAGTTCGGTGGGAGGCACCAGGGAGGGCTCCGGGCACGGGAATGGGCTCCGGAGCATCTCCATGGGAGGCGAAACGCGTCTCAGCTGATGCGCTGCATCCCGCTGCATCCCGCTGCACCCCAGGGATGGCGAGGCCGGCACCGCTGCCCCTGTCAGGGCTGGGCTTACAACCCTGTCCTCTCCCCGCTCCCACGGCTCTCTCTGGTTTAAGCCTCCTGAACCTGTCCCAGAGGGCTCCCATCTGCCCAGCTCCATGATCACCCTCATTCCCAGGCACAGAGCTCCAGAGCCGATGCTGAGCGTTACAGAGGGGTCACAGCAGGAAGCTCGCACTAAGCACTCCATAGCATCCTCCTACCTCCATCTCCCCCTTCCCAGCAAGGAAAGAAGAAGCCCTCTGGGTATCAGACACGAGCAGATACTGCTCCAGCCATTGGCAGTCAGGGGGTAAAGGTTGGACTTGTTGATCTTAAAGGTGTTTTCCAACCGGATTGGTTCCATGATTCCATGCCCTCCCTGATTAAACTTTATGACTCTAATGCCGGAGCATTCCCATCCCTTCCCAGGTGTTCCCTGTGTCCAGCCTCTCTGGGGGCTGGCAGATGGATGCGGGGATGCAAACCCATTTGCAGCTCTGCCACCACTGTAACAGGGCTGCCCCCCAGTGCCCCCCACCCTGGTCCCCATATAAGGCTGAGCTCAGTGGTATTCACCTTGCAGAGGGCAGCATCCCTTGCCGGCAGCACCCTGGGAACAGCGGATTTGGGGGGGGGGGAACACCCCGATACCCCCACTGCTGTGGACCTGCCTTTGCCTTGCTCTGCCCTGAGCCCTGCCATGGGTTTTCTGCCTTATCCATGCGGGAATGGAGCAAAAGGGAGCAAAGAGCAAAGTCCCCTGGAGAAAGCGGCTGGAGGGAGAGCGCGTGAGGAGGAGCAGAGGGTACTCACAGGCTGTGGGCCATGGCTGTCATCTTCCCGGCGGGGCTGCCTTTCCCTTGCGTTCCCATCTCTTTCTCCTGGCAGATCCCGATGGGGAAGGGCAGAAGGGCTCTGTGGAAACACCCCACACATGCAGTCACATCCCGCAGCCACCCCCTGCCCTCTTGCCCCGCCACCCAGGGCACTGAAAGCCTGTTCTCAGGCACGAGGTCTGCTCTCCCCATGCCCCCGCCTTCACCACACAGCAGCCGAGGGGGAGATGCATGGATACCTGCAACAGGCATGCACAGACCCATCGCTTCCACTGAAGCCCAGCCACAGCCTCCTCGCAGCCCCAGTGCTCAAGGGGAGTCCCCATTCCCTGCTCCAAGCATCTTACCCTGGGAGCGGGAGCCTTCCCTGCTGGCACAGGGAGCCCAGGCCGTGCCTGGTGCCACCACCGAGCATGTTTGCCTTGGCCAGGGCTCCGAAGCAAGGCAGGGCAGCGGGGCTGTCCCCTCCTTCCCCAGCTCTGCATCACCGGTGCCTGCACACGTCAGGCTGGAGCAGAGTCCAGCCCGGGCTTCGATCCCAGCAAAGCCTGGCTCCTGCTGGGAATGGGGTTCAGAGACCCACCGTGGTGCTGGGTCCTTCTCTGGATCCAGGCACGAAGAGCAGTGAGGGTCTCCCCTCCAGTGTGCTGCTCTGCTCTGCTGCAAGGGATCTGCAGCATCCCCCAGGCACCCATGCAGGCTCCATCAGCTCACATAATGGGCTTAATATCCATGTGGACCCAGCAGGCAGAAGTCTCCAACCAGCACCCTGCCAAATGCCGCCAAACCCCAATCCCCATGGATGTGCCTCCGTGGGCTGGGATGGAGAGGCCAGAAAACCGGGGGGGAAAGTCAAGAACAAGCCAAAAGAGCATTTCTGCACCTTTCACCTCATGCCCTGCCGCAGCAGCAGGGTCTATGGCCGAGCCAGGAGATGGGATGCTCTGGAAATTCACTGCACTCGCATCCTCTGACCCAGCTCCCGTCTGCCAGCCCTGAAACAAGGCACCTGATAGGCCATGGGTGATAGCTCATCCTGCCATCGACACTGCGCAGCATCCCAGGGATTCATCACTCCCTCCATCAATATTTAAACCCAGAAGGAGCCATTGTACTGCTGTTTAATGCCACGTGTCCTCCAAGCAAAGCATCCTCCTCTAGCAGAGCTCATGAACATCTGGGGCTCTAGGAATGGGGTCAAGGTCTCAGCCTGCGTGTGCTGGATTCCTGCACCCTTCAGCTGGGATGTGTGGGATTTATCCCATGGAGTGAGATGAAATCCCAGCTCCTGCTGCTCCTCCAGCTGCTTCCCATCACCTCAGCAGGGTTTGGGGATGCAGGGCCGGCCCCATGCTCACAGGAGGGCTGCAGCCGGGAGCGCTCGCAGGCTCAGGCTGCTCCATGCAGCATCCACAGCCCCAGGAGCTGCTGACGCCTCCTGAAAGCGCTGTGAAAAGCTGCTATTTTGGGGAAAGTTCCTCTTGTAACGGTGCATCCTGTGGCTTCGCTGCTTCCCTTTGCTCCTGCTATGGGAAGGGCGGCAGGAACAGGCGGGTAACACCGCCAGCAAGCCCGGGCTTGTCAGCAGGGAGGGGAAATACCCCCCCGAAAGGCATCCATTCTCACATGGTGCCCTGCTATGGGGTGCAGGGGGGGCCTTGCTGCAGCTTGGGGAGCGATGCTCAGAGAGAGGGCGAAGTGGGACCTGCCTGGGTCCTGTCCCACGGCTCAGGGCTGGGGGGGGTTGGGTTTGGGGGTGCTGTTATCGCCATCTTAAGAAAGGATAATTCAAAACTCAAAGAAGAAGGAGTCTGTTTCTAAGCAACTGTCTCCAGTGGGGATGGAGAGCACAGAGAGAAGCAGTGATGGGGAGGGAGGAAACTTCTGGGGTCCCCCGCAGGACCAGGCTATGGGGTGAGGGATGGAGCAGAAGAGCTGCTTGGGTCCATCTCATCCATGGGGGCTGCTTGAAAGGCAGCTAAAGAGGGGCCTTGGGGGTGTGGGACCAGCAGCGGCAGCAGCACTGGGGCAGGGCAGAGGGCGATGGGTGGGAGCATCACCCCCTTTCCCCCCCTTAGCCCATGGGAGAGCAGCAGCCGAGCCCCAAAACCACTTCCTGCCCCAACGGCTGCCCCTGCCCGACCGCAGGCAGCAGGAGCCAGGCAGGCAGCGCTGGTGCTGCATGGACGCCCTTGACTACCTGCCAGGAGACATCAACACCCCTTATTGAGGCAGCCACGAGCAGCTCTGCTGTGATCCGTTCCCATGGGGCAGCATCGGCCCCATAGCACACGTCCCTTTGGTGTCTCCTTGCACGTTGCTCTCTGCCCACAGTGCCAACTCCAGTTGCCACCAGTACAACCCATGGAGCCTCGCTGGGGTCCAGCAGCTCAAAGGGGAGCAAAGGGGCAATGAGGAGCTGAGAGCATCACCCGCTCCAGAGGGAAAGGAGACAGGGAGAACCCCCTCCGCCTCACCTTATCCCATTGCTGTGGCTGGGGTCAGCCCTTGCAGAGCCCTGGGGTGGGGGAACAGAGCTGAAGGTGCTGGGTGCAGGTGCTGTGGTTACCTGTGAGCTCCGGCTTGGCTCCGTCCACAGCGATCCCCTCCGGTCCCTTCGCTTCCCAAAGGTGCCGAGTGGCCAGGGCAGGGAGGAGGCGTTTTTATACCCTCGCCCATGTGATCCAAACAAATGCCCTAAGGATGAGTTTTTGCACTGACACGAGTAAAGGGGCCGGCACTAAAACCTGTTGGACCGCAATCCGAGCTCCACACATGGGAATTTTCCATTCCGGGTGCGCCGGCGGCACGCTCCCCATCGTTCCCACTTCCCAACTCAGTCCTAAATGCTTCCAGCATCGCAGCTGGAGAAAATGGGCCTGGATGGATGGAGGGAGGGATGGATGGGAAGGGGGAAGGAATGTGTTTAAGCCGTTGGTTCCACCTGAAGTCTGCAAATCTCTTGTTTCTCCCATGGTCTGTGGAAGAAAACACAGCAGAAGATGCCAGCAGGGTGAGAAATAAGAGGGAATCCTTGGAAAACCAAACCCTCCCTTGCAGCCTTGGGGCTTGGCAGTGGCACTTGGGCACGGGCTGGGAGGTGCTTGTGGGATGCTCCTCTGGGATGCTGGTGACACTGAGGGCAGGGTGAGTCAAAGTGAGCAGGATGGGGATGGAAAGGGGAGGGCGAGCTCCGGGTGAGTCAATGGGAACCAAGGGACCAGGGAAATGGCCACGGGCCATGGCAAGGTGCTTGGCAGGGGTGATTCAGTGGGACCAGCTGTGAGTCAATGGGAAAGGAGGGAGCTGATGGGTGATGGGCTGCAGGTGCCCACCAGGCTTCAAAAGAGGCAGGAGGAGCCTCCCCCAGCCCTGCTCCCCTTGGAGGATGCCTTCTGCGGGTAGAGATGCAGCTGATAACAGGTAGGAATGTGCTCTGCAGCACGGGCACCGGGGGTTTGCTGGCCAGGTCTTGTCTCACCTTGTACTGGAGCTGCTGCTGGCACCCAGGGCTTGCTCACAGCTCCAGTGAGCCTTTGCCTTGCCCTGGGTGAAGCTGGAAGGGGGAGCGAGGGGCGTTTTCACGCCTGACTGGTGCAGGGCCTGAGGAGGCTCCTTCTTGCTGGGTCATGGAGCAAGGAAACGTTCCCAGCCTGGAGCAACGCCTGGTGTGGAGCATCCTGAGGGCAGCCTCGGCCTCTGCAGGGGGCAGCGTTAGCCCGTGCCCTGCTCACGGGGGTCACCATGGGGATGGGGGGGGTTCAGCCTTCCCTGAGCCAGCTCCAGCCTCAGCCCTGCCAAGGAGCTGCTGTGGGGCTGGGGCTGTGCCAGAGCTGCCCGGGCACAGGCTCCCCTCTGCTGCGGCGCTGCCGGTGCGGGCCTGGGGACACCGGGGGTAGGTGGGAAGGGGAAGGAAGGGGGGGTTGTGTTGTACTGGGGGGGTCTTGTGCTGGTTCTCCTCTTGGTTTGCTGCTGGTTGCGTTGTTGGGGGTGTGGGGAGCTGCAAATGGGGTCACCTTGGGGTCCCCTGCGCAGCCTTGGGGTCCCCTGCGCAGCCTTGGGGTCCCCTGCGCAGCCTTGGGGTCCCCTGCGCAGCCTTGGGGTCCCCTGCGCAGCCTTGGGGTCCCCTGCGCAGCCTTGGGGTCCCCTGCGCAGCCTTGGGGTCCCCTGCGCAGCCTTGGGGTCCCCTGCGCAGCCTTGGGGTCCCCTGCGCAGCCTTGGGGTCCCCTGCGCAGCCTTGGGGCTGGGAGAGGATGTTTGGGGAGGGGGGAGCTGGAGAAGCCTTTTGGAAGTGGGACCCGAGCTCAGGAGCTTCCCCAGTCCTGAGGACCTGTGGGGAGCCCCCTCACCCCTTCGCAACCCCAAACAGGCCTTGAAGGGAGCAGGGCCCCCCCTCTGCATGGGGCTGTGATGGGGGCTTGTGCTGGGGCTCTGCTGAGCCCATTAAACCCGTACAACCCCCGTGGCAGAGCAGTTAACCCCATTTAAGGAAGGGTCCAACCAGTTGAGTGTGGTTTGGGGGTGTGCTGGTGCAGAGGTTAATCTGGTGTAAGTACACTGGGGATTTGGACTGATTGAACCCGTCTGTCTCCCTGCTTTGCCTGTGATTTACCAGGGTCCATCCAGGCTGGGCTCCCCTCAGGGAGGCAGAAACCAGGCTGTGGACTGAAGGGAAGAGCCACATGCGGGCTGAATCCACACGGTGCTATTTATAGGCATCCCTGCTCAGCCAGCCCAGATTCCATGCGGATCCCTGGCTCCAGCTGGCACGGGGTGGGCAGCAGAGCCCTGCCAGCCCATTGGGACCTGATGGTGCAACTGGTGGGGCCGGGTTTAGCCAAGCCTGAGTCAGAGCAGAGGATGCTGCTTCCTCATCCCCAGCTCCTCATTAACCTGCTGCCCCAGGGCTTTCCCACGAGCAGTGCCCAGCCTGGCCCGTGCCATGGCAGGGATGGGGAATGGGTGTTTGCTTGTTGCTGGCATCCCCAAAGGGCTGGAATCACAACTGGAGCATCCACGGGGCTGGGAGACGCCTTCTTGCCAGGGTGCAATGGTGGGAAGAGAGATGAAGGTACCTGAGTGACCCTTCCATAGCCTGGTCCCTGTGCCCATCAGCATCCCGGGGGGCAGGTTGAGCAGAGCGCACACATGAGGCTTTCTCAGTGCTATAGACCCCCATGGTGCTGTTGTGTGTCAGTGTCTGCAGCGATGCTGGGTGCCTTCTCCTGTCTCTGGGGGCAGGGATGGAGGAGCCTTAATGCTGGAGCTTGAGCCCAAGGGGTGCCTCTCAGCAAGGGTGTGAATACGAGGATGCTGCTGGCATCAGGCAGGGGCCTGGTGAGCAGCGCAGCGCCGCTGGGAGCTGCTGGCTCTGAAGGCAGGAGGCTCTGCACAGCTCTGCCTTGTGACTGCTTAATATAGGCCAAGTGAAAACACTCTGCCCAAAATAGAAGCCCTTCTCCAGGGAGAGCTGCAGCTCCGGCAGGAGCAGTCACAAGGTGCTTGCTGGTGGCAGGGTGGGCTCTGCGATGGTTCCTTGTGCAATGGGCTGGATGCCTGCACCAAGGTCACCACCGCGGGCTCTGCAGCCACCCAGTGACACCCCCAAGCCCCCCACATGTGCTGTTTGCTGCTGGGGTTCATGGGGTGTGGATGGGATGCAGATGTGGTCCCCCCATCCCTGCTCCATGCGATGCTATGGGTGAAGGTGCTGCTGCCTTGTGCTTGGGGTGCTGTTGGGTGCTGCAGGGGCTGAGACGCATTCCTGCTTGCGGTGCTGCTGGAGCTGAGGTTTAGGATGGAGCTGGGCCGGCAGGAGAAGGGGGGGCTCCCTGTGTGCTGCTGCCAGGCCTGGGGGGCTGCTCCCAGCCATGTGCTTATTGCCTGGAAACAGGGAATGTTCCTCCTCTCCTGGGTGCTCCGGTGATGCCCATGAAGGAGAGGGGCTGGTGCTTGGCTCTGGGGGCTCGCAGCAGCCCTGGCTCTGCTCTGATGCCCGGCTTGTGCTGTGCTGCATCTTCTGCTGGGATCAGAGTGCAGGAGCCTGCAGGCGCTGCAGCTTCAAAGGGCGAAAGCATCGTGCATCCCCTCCCTGCCCCATAGCGATTCCTGCCTGGAGGATGCTGCAGGTCTGAGCCCCCTTGTGGGGCTCTGAGCCTTCCCCTTTGGTCACTCAGGCCCTTTCCTAGCTCTCCCCTGAGCGGGTTTGGATTCAGCTTGTTCCGGTTGCAAGCTGCGGGCAGGGTGGTTTCTGCCCGTGTCTTCAGCCCCTGATCCTTAGGGGCCCACAGACACATCCGGGGGGAACCGCAGCCGATCCAAGCCGGAATGAAGCCGTCGCGTTCCCGAAACCCACCCAGCAGATCGGGTGCTCGTCACTCCCGAAGCCCCTGCCCTGGGGCAAGGTGAGGGTGACCTTGGGCCCCCTCCCCACCGCCGGGAGCGGGCGGAGCGGCGCTGCCGAGGTGAGAGCAGGGCAGGCGGTGCCGCCGGCTCTGAATGGGGAGAGCGGATGCGGTTTTGTTCCCTTTGCTGAGTGCCAAGGGGAAAACGAGCTGGGAACGGGAGCAAAGACCCAGGGGATTCCCCCGGCCAGGGCTCTGCCCTGTGGGGGTCCGTGTCAATGAACGCCTCTCGGCTTTCGGAGTTGGTTTCCGTGGGGAAACTGAGGCAGGAGGAGCCCAAATCGCAGGAAATGCTGGGCTTTGAAGGCAAAACTGAGCTCTTCCTGCAGCGGCTGGGTTGCACTTGGAGGGGAATGAGCACATTTAGTGCCCAGCAGGGCCTTTGCTAATGCACAGCAACAATAAATAGCGTAAGGGGGGGCTGCAAGGAGAGGGGCTTTGCACAAGGGCCTGTAGGGAGAGTCCAAAGGGAATGGCTTGAACCTGCCCGAGGGGAGACTGAGCTGGGCTCTTAGGCAGAAGCCCTCTCCCATCCTGCGAGCCTGGGAAACCTCTGCTTTCAGGAGCATCAGGGCAAAGCCACGGCCTTGGCTCCATGTGAGAAGGGGGCAGCTCCCAAGAGGCTGCAGTGGTTCTCTGTGGTTCACCCCGGGGATGCAGCAGGGGATGCGCAGTGGAACCATCTCCTTGTTCTGTCCCTGCAGGCAGTGAATGGCTGGGGATTGCTGAGGTCACTCGATGGGATGGGGTGGGATGAACTTGGATTGCATGAAACAAACCAGGTTTCTATGGGGCAGGGATGCGGTGCTGCGTGAAGTTGGAAGAAGCCCTGAAGTGGGTTGTAAATGGCACTGGTTAATCTTTAACAGCCACAGGAAGCCTGTGGCTTGGGTGGGAAATTCCAGAGCTCCACCAACGTGCGTTTGGCTCCTGGTGGGACAAAAAGCTGCTGTCTCATGAGCATTTATGGGGAATTCCTGACCTGGAAACACTTGGTTTGTGTTAAAACCCGGCATTAAGTAACAGCAGCAGAGCCGGGGGCTCTGCATGTGTGAAAGCTTTGTGAGCCTGTCCCGTTGAGCTGATGTTCCTTGAAATGCTCTGGTTTCTGGTTGAGCTGTGTCCTGATGCTCTCAGTCACCCCTGGGTAAGGTTCTGGGACCTTGGCAGCAGCTTGTGAGGCTATGGAGGGTGCTGGGATGCAGGAGCGGGTTACAGCACTGCTTCCAATGGTGGCTTTGCATGAAGGTGTGAAGCATCCCCATAAGTGGAGGCAGGATCTCATTGAATGCGGGGTGGAAATCCTGGATGAGCACAGCTTCCCCCAGCACCGCGCCGGAGGCTTCCCAGCAGCTGGAAAGACGAGATTCCTGCGGTCCCGCACTGCTTAGTCAGGAGAGGAGCCATGCAAACACACTGGGGTTACTGGGGAGGAGGCTGGCTCCTGGTCTGCACCCGCCTTGACACCGCTCTCTGCGTGTTCCCATGGGAGCATCCCGCTCCGCAGGGCAAGCGGCTCAGTGTGGGCTCTCAGTGCATGGTTTATCGGCTCTCCCTGGCTCCCAGAGCTCCAGGCATGGGCTGGTGGGAGCTGCCCATCCTCTGCATGGGTTTGTGAGGCTTGGAGCAGGGGTGCAGGCAGGGCTGTGCCTGCTGCAGAGCCAGAGGGGACCAAGTCGAAATCGGAGTCTGGTGGCTTCAAACCCCTGGGGACCCCTCTGGCTCTGCAGGGGCTGTGCTCCGGGGGCATCACTTTGCCATGGGTTTTCTACCCTGGTGATGGAGTGCTCAAGGGCAGGTTGGACCAGGGGCTTGGAGCAAGCTGCTCCAGTGGAAGGGGTCCCTGCCATTGGAACTGGAGGAGCTTTAAGGCCCCTTCAACCCAACCCATTCCATGGTGTGGGTTTGCTGCTGAGGCTTCCCGCTGCCTTTCCAGCAGGCTCCTGAGCAGGAGAAATGAAATCTTTGTAACTGCTCTGCAAACAGTGCTTAGAGAAAGGCTGAGTCCATCCGAGCAAGGATGCTGCAAGGGATTGATGCTCCCGTGGGTTTTCCTTCCAGAGCATCCCCCGGGGATCCTTCTGTGCCTTGTCTGTCAGCAAACCCTTTGTGCTCATCCCATTTGGGGATCCTCTAGGGAGGTCTCCAGATTGCAGTGGCTCATATGGGCTCTGTGAGAAGGGTTTCTCTCTGCTTCTGTGTGGAGTTCACCCCGTCTGTGGCTTTTGCTGCTGTTTGGGTGACCTCTGCCCAGTGGACACCCATACTAACCCCTGCAGGAACCATAGTGATGCTGCTTGCCCAGAGAAGCTGTGGCTGCCCCATCCCTGACAGTGTTCAAGGCCAGGTTGGACACAGGGGCTTGGAATCCTGCTTTTCCCAAAGCCACCTTCCCATGCCAGAGTCTCTTGGTAGCTGTCATCATCATTAACATTGGGTGTCCTTACCTGTGTGGCTCTGCTGGGATATCACCCCCTTGGCCTGGGATAGAGGATGTAAGCCCCGTTTTATGATCCTGACTCATGCCAAGCAGTGCTCCTGACTCCGATGGGAGCAGCGGTACTCACGTGAGCCTGGCTGCATGCTCAGGGCTCTAATTATGGGCTTTGCCCATGTTGTAGCGTGGGAACCGGAGCCATTAGCCCCTAAACCCTCCGGATCATTCCCAATACATTAATGTTTCTCATTAGTGAAGCCTGATGCCTTTTTCCTCTCTGTGATGACAGTGGTGCTGGCACCTGCTCGTGCTCGCTCTGCGTGCTGGCACTTCATTATATAATGATACAGTAAGTGCTGTAATACCCATTCCCAACTGGCAGTGGGCTTCTCTGCCTATGCCTCACCCAGAACCCATGAGGCAATGGGGAGGACAGGCCGGTGCTACTGAATACTTGGGCAGCACCCCTTATAATGAGCTGGGAAGCTGCTGGTGCAGAGGGGGGTACGGGCCAGGTGAGGACCTGAGTGTGGTGGATGGACTGGGGACCATCCCTGTGGGATGCAAGCCCCATCTCCTGTTTCCATGCTCCTTTAGGGACGAGCTGCCCCTTCCCCAGGCTGTGTTTCCATTTCCAGTCCCTTCTTCCCCCTCCTTCCAGGGAAACCATCTCCACGGCAACCTCAGAGCTCCAGGCTCTGCCTCAGAGCTGCTCTCCCATCCCCAGGACCTGGCTGGTAAGTGCCTTGGCAGGGCCTCAGGATGCTGCAGGGGAGGTGAGGGCTGAGCTGGGCAGGGAGGGGGGTGCCTGCACCCCGTGCCCCAGCTCCCCTCATCCTCGAGGCTCGCTTTGTGCTTTGTCATCGTTGTCCTGGTGCAGGAGAGGCTGTGGCTGGGTTCAGTTGAGCCCTGGTGCTGTCCCCATGCAGATGCTGTGCTGGGGGTCAGGGATGCTGGTCGGTGCTGGTTGTGCATCCGTTGGAAGCGGCCTTGCTTAGACCATGACCAACCCCGATGCCAAGTTCTCATCTTTCCCATCTCCTCCGAGTCCTGGGAAGAGCAGCAGGGAGCAGGGGCTCTGTTCCCTCTTGGTGCCACTTGGGCTTGGAGTGCAGCATCGCAGTGATGGCTGTGGCTGCTCTGCTGCTGTCCTGTGTGTGCATCCCTGGTGCCATGTGGGCAGAAATGGCTCTTCTGAGATGGGGGGGTCTTGCTGCAAACCTGCTGTGGTCCCATGTTTCCTGCATGGAGCAGCAGCAGCAGGGAGCATGGTTTACCTGTGACATTACTGGGGTTAATGATGTGGAACTGGGGTGGGATGGGAATGATGTGTAAGGAGGGGTGTGCTCGGCTGGAGCTGGCCAAGCTGCATCACTGGGATGGGGATGCTGTGGCTGCTGGGAGGGAGCACTGGGTCACAGCCCTGACTTTGCTGTCTCCTGGTCCCCACAGGGCAGGATGAGGCCGCTGGGTGCTCTGTTCCTGGCTGCTCTCCTGACTGGTGCCGCAGCCTCTTGGCCTGATGAACCTTCCAGGACCTGCTTCTTCCAGATGCTCAGCGATGGGGACAGCTTGTTCTGCAGGTGAGGGGCTCCCCATTGCCTCCAGCCATGCACTGCCCCCTGTGTCCCATCACCTCCTGGGACACCACCGGCCCCTTTGCCAGGGCTATCAACATCCATGGCTTTCTTCCTTTGGTTTTCCATGGGGGGTTCCAGAGGGAGGAGGCTGCTCCTTGGGGCAGGGAAGTTCTGGAGCGGTTCATCCCGCAGACCTGGGGTTGTGCCATGGGGATGCTGATGGTGAGCTGGTGGCCTTGAGGCTCGCTGCACACGCGCTGTGGTACCCAATGGCTTGTCCTGGTGGCCCCTCTGCTGTTAGATGATGTGGAGGGGAAGTGCTTCGGGTTGGAGCTGGAGACACCTGCCCTGCTGCTGCACTGTCAGTCCCCAGAACAGAGCAGGCTGGGTTCAAGCTGCTTGTCTACAGCCAAGGGGGTGAGGGTGGCTTTGTTCTCCTCCTCGCCATCTTCAAGCCTTAAATTCACCCCTATAGGCCATGATTCCTTTAAAGCCTATGGTGAATGTGGCCCATCTCAGGTGTGCACAGGAGGGTGCTTTTATCCTGGTGCACAAGGTGCTGCACTTGGTGGCAGCAAGCTGGATCCTGCATCTCCTGCCCAGCACTGGAGCCAGTGGCTCTGGGAAGTGGCTCTAATTCCCATGCACTGCACGGTGTCACCTCACCCATCCCGTGTCCTCTCCTCCTTTCTCTCTGCAGAGGGGATTTGGAAGTCATTTACCCGGAGCTGGGTGACGTGGGCTGCTCGTACATCCCCAAGTGCCACCAGTACCGGGAGCGCATCAGCAGGGAATGGGGCAGCCCCCGTGTCCGGTACCCGCAGGCTGACAAGGTGAGTCCTGCACTGCTCCCAGCTTTGCTGTTAACTCGAGGTGTATCTGGATCACAGGGGAAGAATCCATTGGGAAAACGTTGCTTACACATGTGTGTGCTTGGACTTTGATCCTGGGCAGGCAGGGAAGCTCAGTGCCTTTGCTTTGGGTGCCGGGGATGGCCTGGGAGGTGTTTGCGCAGTGTTGTGTGTTGCTTGGTAGCCTTGGCCCGTGGGCAAAGTGCCATCAGCCGCAGGGGCTGGTTGTTGGGTGACTTTGTAAGCTGCTTTCCTGTGCTTCAGGGCTTTGGTTTGAGGTTGAGCTGCGGGTAAACTGAAACTCCTGCTGGTAGGGGCCATGTAGGGACAGGCCAAGGGGAATGGCTTGAACCTGCCCGAGGGGAGACTGAGCTGAGCTCTTAGGCAGAAGCTCTTCCCTGTGAGGGTGCTGAGGCGCTGGCACAGGGTGCCCAGAGAAGCTGTGGCTGCCCCATCCCTGGCAGTGCTCAAGGCCAGGTTGGACACAGGGGCTTGGAGCAAGCTGCTCCAGTGGCAGGGGTTGGAACTGGAGGAACTTTAAGGTCCCCTCCACCCCAACCCCTGCCATGAGAACATTTTGGTCTCATTTGCTGCCGTTTCCGTCGCGTTTTAAACTTCCCCTGAGCTCCTTCAAGCAAACCCAAGCTCGGTCCTGACCGCCCCCCCCATCCGGACCCCGAAGCTGCTGTTACCGCCCGCCGCCACCGGGTGGCAGCATTGAACTTCCCGAGCTCCAGCGCTGGGCGCTCCCGATGGGCTGGGGCTGTCCTGGCAGGGAGGAGGAGGAGGAGGAGGAGGGCAGATGCGGTGCCGCGCAGGGCTGTGCCAGGGGCTGGGATCACAGCACCCGCTGTGCCCATCAGAGGATGTGGTGGCATCAGCCTTGTCCCCAAACCCTGCTGCGATCCTTGCCAGCAGCCCATTGCAGCTTCCCCATCACTGACCCCAACCCTGGTAAGGGGGGAACCCGGCTCTTGTGCATCTTGTTGGTACCTTGAAGTGGCAAGAATCGGTTTTTCTGGCTGCTTCGTTGCCGTCTGGGAAGCCTCTTCCCCTCTTGTCACATGGGTTGAAGTAAAACTCTTCCCTTAAAGATGCCTGATTCCACCAAAGGGTTAACCCCCGGCACCGGATGCTGTTCATGGACTCATCCCTCACTCGTGTGTGGCTTTCCAGGAGTTGGAGGCTTCCCGGGGATGCAGCACTTGCTGCTTGTTGCTGTCCTGGAAAGCAGGGAGAAGGGCAGGGACTGGGCTGCGGTGATGCTGATGGATGCTGCTCTGTCCAGCAAATGATGCTGTGGGGAGGACTTGGGGGCTAAGCAGGCCCAGACCCTGGGATGTGCTGGGGGGGGATAAAGGCTTTGTATCTGTGAACCTGAAAACAAGGCAGGTGAGCTCTGGCTTCGGAGCTGTGTGCACCATGCTTGGGATGGGATGCCCACTGTGGCACTGGGATGGGCAGAGGACTGGTTCTGAATTCCTCAGGTTTTTCTCTATGGGAATGGATGGGTTCTCTCCCAAACCTGTCAGGATGCTTTGGGATAATCTTTTTCCCTGCTAAAAATCCCCCTGAAGTGAGTGGGAAGCAGAGCTGCCACATCCTGTGCCAGGGCCGAGGCGTGCTCAGGCGATGGGGTTGCTTTTTCTGGTTTATGATGGGATTTCTAAGGTCAGGAAACTGGATTTGTCTTTCCGTAATTCCCGAGTGAGAACGGGAAACCTGCGCTGAAGTTACCTCCATCCCCAAGTGATGCTTCCCGGCACAGTGGGGTGCTATCGCCCTGCCGCAGCTTGGTGATGCCATGGATGGAGGGGTGAGAAATGGGCTGGGCAAAAGGCTGGCGATGCTTTTCCCGTTGGACTCGGTGGCAGAGGAGCTGGGGTTTGAGGATGCAAACTCGTGTGGGAAGTGTCTGCTTCCCGCGGAACACTGCGTCTCCTGCGGAAAAACAACCGCCAAAGGCAGCCAAATGCGGAGTGTTTGTGTGTTGGCTCCGGAAATCCGCCCCCGAGCGGGGGGAATGGGACATTCCCCGTCCTCATCCCATGCTCCTGGGGGCTGAACCTCACCCTGCTCATGCCCGAGGTCTCTGCTCGCAGCGCTGATGCTCCTTGGTGAAGGCAGCGTCAATGGGCTTGTGGGTGAAGGGTGGCCAAGTGGGGTGGAGCTGGGCTTTGAGGCGCACCTCCTGCTGCTGGGGAAAGCAGTGCCTCATCTTCAGTGTGTTAACAGGGGGGTTAATGTGTTAATATTGAATATGTTGGTGTTTACCTGGTTCAGACCCTTGGCCGTTGCAGCCAGCTTGATCAAACATCGCTTTGCCTTCCCAAAAGACCCCTTATTTGGTGCGATGGAAGCTGCGGTTACATCTGGTTGCTCGGCATCCTCAGGCAGAGGGATAAGATGGTTCAGGTACCCTGGGAATCCTTTAGGTCCAGAGGCACAGACCTTCCCTCGGCTTGGGGAAGTGCCTTTGCCTCAGCCTTGAGCTGGAGCAGAGCTTGGTCTGCGAGATGCAGCTTTGTGATGCTGAGGATGCTCGGTCCTTGCTGAAGACCCCTCTGAGCATCGGGTAACACCGAGAGCATCCCATGCAACCTGTGGGTAGCACCGCAATGAGGTGACATGGGGCAAAATGCCAAACGCAGCCATTAAACCATGCTGGCATCTTCCTGACCCCCCCAAGCCCTTTCCCAGGCCAAGGAGGAAGCGGGAACAGCGGCAAACATCAGTGGGGGAACGGCGTCCTCCCGGTCCTGCCTCAATATTGCTTTGCTCAACCGAAAATAAATTGGAAAAGAAAATTGGACATTGCATCAATTTGGGGCGAGTTTATAAATCCTGCAGCTAAGCAATCCCCATGGAAAATGATAGATCACGGCCCCTGCCATGATGTATAGGCACATTACCCGGGACGGCGCGTTACATGATGCTCTTTTATTACCGCGGTTGGTGGCAGACAGCAAAACGGATTACACCGGGGATCAAATCGATGGGAACTTTATTTGCTGGCCCTTTAAAAACACATTTCTGCCCCTTATAGAAACATACGGGAGATGCGACCGAGAGGAGTTGTCTGCTTGTTAAAAAGCAATTTACCTGCCGCCAGGCGCTGGGGCTGCCGTTCAGGGCACTACCTTCTACCTGCTGCTCCAGACTGCCTTTATCACAGGGGTTGACAACTTCCTTAGGGGCTCCTTGGGGCTGTGAGGAAGGGACGGGGCTCGTTCTCTGGACCGGGGGCAGGTGTCTTGGGAATCAAGTGCGTTTCACCAGGCTACAGCCCCAAACTGGAATGGAAATGGTGTTTGTGAGGCCCCTCTCTGTGTAAACCAGGCTGAGATTGGAGCATCCGTGAGCTCAAACTGCTCCCTGCAGCTGTACGGATCATCTTGCAAGCACTGTGTGTGTTTTCAGTGTCCTAAACCATTCCCATAGTGGAATGGGCTGGAAAAGCCCCCCAGCCCTGCAAACCATGGGATGATGCCCTCAGGGGTTGCATCAGGCTTCGTACAGCAGCAGCTCTATGTCCTCTTTGTGCCTAAACCTGCCACCAGCACCCTGGGGTGCTGCTCTGGGCCTGGAGGGCCATGGCAATGCCCTGCTATGGCGCTGGGGATCCCAACCCTGCCTCTAGCAAGAGTCCACAGCAAATCCCATTTGCTGGTTATGTCCCAGCCTTTGCTCCTTTGGCGGCTGCATTGGGGACAGTCCTGATTTATAAGGGTTTGTGCTCTAGGATCTGAGGGCCATTATTCGGGAAATGGCTTGGATGAGGGAACCCATTAGCTTCACACAAAGGGAGGAGAAGGTCTGCTTCATCTCCTAATTGGGATGTGCTCTACTTGTGTCAGGCAGAGCTTTGCAGCTGGCTGCAAGAGGGGCTTTGGAGCAGCGCTCAGGTTAAAGTCGGGTCTCATTAGAGATGGCTTCAAGCAGTTTGTGCATCCTTGGTGGCTCCTGGATCTGTCTGGGGTTGAGGAGCCACCAGCTTGTTTTTCCCTCAGTCCTGTCTGGGCTACTTAGGAACAATGGTCCAGCATTCCTTCCCCATGCTGTCAGCCAGATATTATGGGGATTAGCCCAAGCCCCTGGTGATGAACCCCTCCCTGTTGCCCTGCTGGAGCCGATGCTGGTTTGGGTTCCCATGGCCCTGTTCCATAGCGGCTCCCTGGCGCCTGGGCTCAGCCTGGCCTTGAGCAGAGGGGTTGGTGTGAGGCCTCTGAGCTACCAGAAATGCCTCTTTGAGGGCTTAAGTGTGGGGTGGTGAAGCAAAGCAGTGTGTGTGTGCTGCAGGCTCGGCCCTGTCCTCTGCTGACCCGCTCCCAGGCAGGACAAGAGTGAGGGTCTGAGCTGCACTGGGATGGGATCCCCTTTGTGCACCCCAGAGCGAAGCACTGCTTTGCTTTCTGCACCTTTGGGGATGCAGGAGAGCATCCTTGGGGATGGGAAGTGTGGGTGCTATTCCAGGAGGGACTGATGGGACAGCTGGTGCTGCATGCCATGAGAGCCCCTTTCCATGAGCAGCCCTGGCAGATCTGTCACTTCACATCTGCTTCATTACCTACGTGCTCGCTGGACATTTAACCACCCTGGACAAACAATGCTCCCCTTCAGGCAGAAGGATGGGCTTGGGAGCTGCCAAGAGCCTCCAGGTCATCAAGCCTGCTCTCCTTATTGCTTATGTATTGGCATGCACCCGGGTGTGGGACAGACACTTGTGCCTGTTTCAGCAGGGAGCTGTTTGAAGCAGCTGATGGTTCTACTTTGATCCCTGTACACACTATACAGTAATCAAAGTTTAAGCTGCTTTGGATGAAATAATTGCTTAACAATCATATAAGACAAAGTGATTCAACAAATGACAATTAGGACTTGTGATATACAGAACAGATGCATTCAGTGTACCATATTATAATGTGCTAATACAAGATTGACAGCACAATAATAGGAGAGAACAGCCACTCAGCCTATAATTC